CTTCCTAGCTGTAATTTTGCTACTGTTACAAATCGTAATGTGAACATCTGTGTTTTCTGTTGGTCTTAGGTGACCCTTGTGAAAGGATCATTTGACCCCAGAGGGGTCGCCACCTACAGGTTGAGAGCTGCTGCTCCAAAGGGACCAGTGGTCCAGCTTGTTTTCATGGTCCATCCGTGCTCCTTCGTCAACATCAAACTTGCCTCCAGCAGGTCTCAGCAACCGAGTTGTTCTGTTCTTTCCCTGCCAGCCTCCCTCCTTTCTTCTTCCTCTCTTTCCTGTGTGTTGCTGGTGTCACCCAACTTGGCATCTACTTCTTCAGCTTCCCTGTTGCTGGGACACCTGACAGTCCCCTTCTGTGTTGCAGACAGTTGTACATACAGTCTCAAGATTCAGGGTTGCAACTTGAGCCCTTTCTAAGGATGCTCACAGCAAGCTCTGTCTAACCTGTCTACTCCGGAGATGATAGTAGGGACTCCATTCAGTAGCCGCTGAAGCACGCCCTATGGATTTTGTTGTTTTCTGCTCCCTAGCACTCCCGCAGACAGGGTAAGCATTGTTAGTTGACTCACAGTCAAACGTTATCAGTCTCACCAGATCACTGATGATCTAGACGCCATGCGCCTCCAGACACAGCCCTGTCTCATCTTTCGGGATGCGATGCAAGAAGAGGAGGTTTGATTTGCCATTTGCTCACAGCATCCCCACCCACTGTACACACTAAGGACCGCCTTTGTATTTGATTCTTAGAAGTATTTTTCATTTATTTATTTTTATGTGTACTGGTGTTTTGCTTACACGCATGTATGGCCAGAAGAGGGCATTAGATCTCCGGGAGCTGGCGCTAGAGGTGGTTGTGAGCTGCCATGTGGGTGTTGGGACTCGAATCTGGGTCCTCTGGAGGAGCACTCTTACCACTGAGCCATCACCCCAGCGCCCTAATGTTTTCAGTCAGCCTGGAGGGATATACCTTTGAGCTCAGTACTTAGGAAGTAGAAACAGGCAGGCAGATCTCTTGTGAATTTGAGGCCAGCTACATAGTGAGGCCAGATAGAACTACATAGTGAGATCCTGTCTCAAAAAAAAAAAAATTTTTTTTTAGAAGTTATTTATATTTGTTTACTGTGTGTGTGTTAAGTCAGGGAACAACTTTCAGGAGTTTGTTCTCCTCGCCTGCCATGTGGGTTGTATGGATTCAACTTGGGTCACCAGGCTTGGTACCAAGTGCCTTGACCCTGAACCATCTGGCTGGTTGGTCCCATACCTTATTCTAACAGGTCACATATCAAGGGTTGGAATGCTGGCTTTAGCAGCTGAGCGATCGGATGGCCCCTGATCCTTCATCCTCCGCAGCCAGTTTAGTTAAAACTGGCTGGTCTCTCACCAGCTGATAGACTTGCCGCTCTACCAGACAGTAACACAGGTTCCTGTCTGAATGGTTACCTTCCCATCACCTCCTGCAGCAAAGTAGCTTTCTTTATCTCTGCCTTGTAAGTGGAGAATCCATACGTCTGAGAGCTAAATCTAAGAGTTGGTTCTATTCTAGGTTGCTTGCTAGTTCTTAGGAGAGGAAATGTATGGCCATTTGTCGTCACTAAGAGACATTACTCCCTGGTGTCCTCCCGTGGAAAACAGGAACAAGATTGGGTGAAGTGGGAATACAGGATTAGTAGGAACCTTGGAGGCCAAGAGAGATTTGGGTTAGGTGCCTCCCAGAACTCGGGAGGCAGAGGCAGGCAGATCTCTGTGAGTTTGAGGCCAACTGGTCTACAGAGCAAGTTCTGGGATGGCTAAGGCCACACAGAGAAACTCCGTCCTGAGAAACAAAACAAAAAAAGGAAGGATTTGGGTCTTGCTTTCTATCCAGGATAAGATTTTGATTAGGTCAGCCATGTGACTATGTAACCCAGAGTGTGGGCTGGGAAGAGTGTGAGCTTAACATAGGTTGTACCAAGATGGCTCTAGGCAACCTGGAAACAAGAAAGTTGGTTTCTATGGCTTCATAGATTTCAGGAGTGAGTTTCTATTCCACGTTGGTCACGTTGGTCAGCACTGGCTGGAAATTATGGTCATGGGAAAGGGCAGGCCGCTGGCTGTTTCCCTTGGGAGCAGTGCCTGTCTGTTCTCCTTGCTGAGTTTCTCTGGGAGCTACTTTTTGTCTCTGGGACCTGTGTGAGTAGGCTCTGTGGTGCCTGAGTCTGAGAATTTGAGTTCACTGTTGACCCACGGCTGGTACAGATCATGAGCAACAAAATATTTAACCTGTGAGATCACTTGAGGGAAACGACATTGGATCAATAGGAGGAACATTCGCTGTTTTCCTTCAGGGTCAAGTCCAAGTTCTCTTGGCAAAACCGTAAACCATTAAAAGTGGAAAGAATAGTCCACAGCGGCTATTTTTAACCAGCTGTGTGTTCTGTTTCCCCTCTGTGGTACTCTCCTTGACCAGAACACTACAATAAACATGTGTTAGCCTAGTATCCAGACTGTACTTTCGATGGTCCCGTATTGTGAGAGAGTCCTTAGGCTGATAAACAACACTGTGGGAGCTCCTTGGAAGAAAAACCATGTTCAGCCTCCAATGTACCCAAGGTTTCTAGCGCAGACCAATGGAGCACTTCCGAAAGAGTCATTAAAATGGTGGTGCACGCCTTTAATCCCAGTTCTTGGAAGGCAGAGAGGCAGGCCAATCTTTGTGAGTTTGAGGCCAGCCATTAGTATACAAAGAAACCCTGTTTTGGGGGAATGGGAAAGGGGGGAATTGAGAAGCAGAGTGATGGCCAAGTGCTGCAGAGGATCATAGTGTGGGGGGTCCCAGCTTGGCGCCACATCAGGCGGCTCACAACCACCTGGCATGACATGACACCTGTGTCCTCCCCAGAGCCCCACCCTCCCACAAACATACATAGTTACAAAGAAAACAAATCTGAAATAGAGAGGGGCGAGAAGCGGTGCTGTAGCTTAGTGGCACAGCATTTGCCTAGCACGGTGCAGAGTACCGGATCCCACCCCCGGCACTGCAGAAAAGGGCCTGGGGGGTCAGTTTTGGTGAGGGCCAGCCTGTTCTGTACAGTGGGCTCAAGACACTGTGGGCCAGATAGTCAGACTCTCTCAGGAAACAGAAGTCCTGGTGTAAGTAAAGGTTGGTAGGGGAAGAAGTAGGTAGATCGCTGTGAGTTCCAGGTCAGCCAGGGCTACGAAGGGAGCCGCTGGGAGGCCTGGGTGTGGCAGCACACACTTGTAATCCCTAAATGGCAGAGGCGGAAGCAGGGTGATCACACAAGCTCGCAGTGACTCCAGGATACATGGTAAGTCTCTGACTTACTATGGGTGGGGTTTAAAGGGCAAAGGAGGTTCAGGAAGAAAGACAGTGAGGAGACTGTCCACGTCATTAGATCCACAAGGGGTTAACTGGGCACCTCTTGGTGGCAAGCCACCACACACTCTCTCACCAGATGATGGTGAGAACTGGCTGTCAGGAGGGTACCGAACACTGGTGAGCGCCTAGAGAGAGGCAAAGCATAGCATCAGAGCAGGGGCCGAGGGAGAGTGTGCTGCCCCTCAGGCAGCAGGTGGGTGGCAGGCAGAAGGGGCACCTGGAACTAGTCCTTCAGAGGACGAGGCCAGTCATTCATTTGAACATCCAAAAAAGAACGGAAACTTCTTTGCTTTCTCCTTAGCCAAGGGATGTGTTGGGCCAGTGTGGCTGACTGCCAGGAAAGCCAAGAGTGAGGGTCTTCCTGATGACTTGAGTGAGCCAGCGCAGCCGCAGGGCGGGTGGGGCTAGCAGGTCCACCTGAGATGCAGAAGTGGGTGCCTAGGCCTGTGTGTGAGTCTTAGTTACTTTTCCGTTGCTGTGAAGAGACACCGGGACCAAGGCAAGTTATAAAAGAAAGGCAGCGGATTCGGGGGCTTGCTGACGGTTCAGAGGGTGAGTCCAGGAGCATCTTGGTGGGAAGCATGGCGGCAGGCAGGCAGGTATGGCACCAGAGCAGCAACTCTGAGCCAGCGTGTTTTCTACAAATCGGAGGGAGCGAGGGAGGAAAAGAGACAGACAGACAGAAAGATGGACTGACTGGCTGACTGGATATGACATGGTCTTTTGAAACCCCAAAGCTCACCCCTAGTGACATACCCGGTCCAACAAGGTCTTACCTCCAAATCCATTCCAGAACGGGTCTGCCAGCTAGGGAATCAAACATTGACGTATATGAGCTCAAGGGAGCCATTCTCAGCCACGCCACCGAAGTGTGGCACTACCTCGAAAGGAGGAAGGCGGGGCTCGGGAGAGAGGGCGAGCCCCGGCCGCAGATGAGAACAGATGAGAAAGGGTTTATGCGTGCCGGGTGTGCTGCCAGAGCAAATGTGCTATTGTGGCAGCTGCAGGCCTGGGGCCTAACACCTGTTGGCTGGAGGCTCCCCTGAGCTGACCTCTCCTTGGCTGGCCCTCCCACAAATGCATCTGTGTTCTGCTGGAGGGCCAGGCCCCCCCACCCTCGCTGAGTCATGTGTACCCAGAGTCCCTGTTGACCAAATGCCTGCTGTCATCTTGGGCGTGGGGGCTGCTGGGTTTGTGAGGGGTTTGGGTTTATTCGCTAGGGAAAGAGGTGAGGCTGACAGGGCTGGAAAAGGGTGTTCCGGTGGGAAGTGTCCTTTTGGCAAAGCACTGAGCAGCATATGGAGACGGGGGCCATTGCAGACCCAGGAAGACCTTTCCAGCTTAGAATGGAGGGCGTTGAGACACTGCTTAATGCTGCTGCGGCTGCTTCCTAACTTTGCCTCTTTCTTCTTTGACTTCATGGAGAAGTGGGGTGGAGGAGAAGAGCTGGGGATCTCAACTTGCCCATCATCTGTAACTGGTACACATTCCAGTGTCCAGCTCTGCTGCCTCGATTGAGGCCCCCGACAGTGCAGTGCCCTGCGGCTCACCTAACTCCCTTTCTCTCTCCTCCTCCTTTCCCCACTTGGCTCTTCTTCCTGGCTCCCGTGGGTGGCTGCAGCCCAGCCCTGGGGAGTTCCTGTGGAAGTGGAGTCTCTCCTGGTCCACCCTGGTGACCCGCTACAGCTTCGCTGTCGGCTTCGCGATGACGTGCAGAGCATCAACTGGCTGCGGGACGGGGTGCAGCTGGCGGAGAGCAACCGCACCCGCATCACGGGGGAGGAGGTGGAGGTGCGGGATTCCATCCCCGCTGACTCTGGCCTCTACGCTTGTGTGACCAGCAGCCCCTCTGGCAGCGACACCACCTACTTCTCCGTCAATGTCTCAGGTTGGTAGCAATGCCCTGCCTCCCCGACTCCTCCCACTTCATTTGCTAGTTTGAAAGGGAGGTGAACCTCCTGCCCTCCTCTGCTTCAGAACGGCCGCCCACTAACATTGCTCTCTGCCCGCTGCGTGGCTTAGCTCTCAAGAGGTTGACCAGGTAGCTTATTGATGTTTTAGGGGTCTGAAAAGCCTGTGATTTGTCCAGCACAGCATGCCCAGATCGTGCTAAGTGGGCCTCAGCCAGCCTCATTTTGTCAAGGCCTAGGCTTAGTGACTGGACCATACAGTCAGGTTCCTGCTGTGGTGGGAAGGGCTCAGGTACACTGCCATGTTCAGGCTTTGTGGGGGAAAAACCTGTTGTCTGGCTTATGGAACGTTATGAGTGCAGCCAGGCAAGCCTAGAACTCTTGATGCTAGGAATAAGCTTCCTTAGAGTGTGGCTCTCCCAAAAGCAAGATCCAAGGAAGGAAAGCTGCAGCTTCCTTTATGCCAAGATGGGGGCTTGGTACCTTCCCCCAGGCATCATTTACAACTTGTCACCAGTTAAGGAGCATGTTTCATAGTCCCCAAGAGAGACCTGATAAATATTTGGTTAGCTGCTTCTTTCTTCTTCTTCCTTCTTCCTCTTCCTTCTTCTCCATCTTCTTCCTTCTTCTTCTCCTCCTCCTCCTCCTCCTCCTCCTTTTTCTTTCTTCTTCTTGAGAAAGGATCTCTCTAAAACAGCCCTGGCTGTCCAGGAATTTACTCTGTAGCCCAGTAGCCTGGCTCAAACTCAGAGAGATCTGCTTGCTTCTACCTCCCAAGTGCTGGAATTAAAGGTGTGTTCCACCAAATATAGCCTTTTTTTAAATGTGATGCATCCCAGTCAGGGAGTGAAGGTAGCTATAGCTGGGCATAGTAGTCTACAACTTTAACACCAGCATTTCAGAGGATCTGAGATAAGTTTGAAGCCAGCCTGGTCTATTTCTCTACATCAGGAGATCCTGTCTTAAAAGAACTTTGGAGGAAAAAAAAAAAAAAAAAAAGGCAGCTCTGGGGTGAGAGATGGCCCAGCTGTTAAGAGCACTTCATACTCATGCAGACAACCTGGATTTGGTTCTCGGGATTCAGTGTGCTCAAAGTTGCCTGTGACTCCAAAATGGGGTGGGGTGGGGAGAGCGGGAGGAATAGGCAGTTAGTTCCTAGACCTCAGGAGATCCGTATTAGATTGCAGGTTGTGCATCTGACAGTTTAAGAAGTAACTTCAAGGCCCAGCATGTCTAGATCTGCCTGGGCTTCTCAAAGGCTGACATCCAAGGGGCACCGATTCTTCGGCTGCCGTGGTGGGTAGCCCAGGTGATACTGGCTGTAATTAAATAAATGTGGGAAAAGGTAGCTGGTCCTGCTAGAGCCATCTGGACTTGTAGTCAGAAGGCAGTGCAATGGGCCAGGATGAGCACTGGGGCATGTAGTTCTTAAACTCAGACTGTCATAGAGGCAAAAATTCGAGAGAGTTGGGAGTCCTTTCAGGGTGGATGGTTGTGTTGTCTGTGACTACCCCGAGGTGTTTGGATGGCAGTCTGGGATGCTCAGACATGCCTCAGCGCCCCTCCTTCTTCCTCACAGATTCGCTCCCCTCCTCGGAGGATGACGATGATGACGACGACTCCTCTTCGGAGGAGAAAGAGACAGACAACACCAAACCAAACCGTAGGCGTGAGACACTGTTTTCTACCTTATTTCCTGATTTGAGACCCAGGAATTGAGACTTAGGGGAAGGGCCCGTCGAGAGTGGGAGGAGACAGGCTCAGAGGGCCTGTGGGCCATGGTGTCTGCCTGCTGCCCCTCTAGGTGGCCTGAGGCACTGAGCAGGTAGATGGGGGTCCTGCCTCCTGCCCGGGCCCTTGCTCCTGGGCCTGACCACTCCTGCTACCCTCATCTGTCTCCTTTGATTTTTCCTGGACAGCTGTAGCTCCGTACTGGACATCCCCAGAAAAGATGGAAAAGAAACTGCATGCGGTGCCGGCTGCCAAGACGGTGAAGTTCAAATGCCCGTCCAGTGGGACACCCAACCCCACTTTGCGCTGGTTGAAAAATGGCAAAGAATTCAAACCTGACCACCGGATTGGAGGCTACAAGGTGTGTGTGTGTGTGTGTGCATATCAAAGAAGAAGTAGAATAAGACACTAGATAGGGGCCTGGATAGAAAATCTATGTTTTATACCTTTATTAATTTGGTTTTGTTGTTGCTTTGATTGCCTTTTAAAAGGTGGGATTTTTGTTGCTGTTTTTTTAATTTAAAAGTTTATTTAATCATTATTTCACCTGTTTGTATGTATGTATGTATGTATGTATGTATGTATGTGCATCACATGACCCTAGTGCCTGCAGACGTCTGAAGAGGGTGTCAGGTTCCTGGGAACTGCAGCGTTTTGGTTTTTACTACTTTAAAAATGTTTTATTTGTGGGAGGAGGTCAGAGGAAAACATGGAGGAGTCAGTGTGGGTTCCGAAGACCAGTCTCAGGTCGTCAGGCTTGGTCACATGTCCCTTTACCCTCTGAGTCATCTTGCCAGCCACCACCAGCCCCTCCCTCCCTCCCTCCTTTCTTTGGTTTTTGACACAGTATCTCTCTACTTAGCCCTAGCTGGCCTGGAACCCACTATGAAGAACAGGCTGCCCTCAAACTCACAGAGATCAGACTGCCTCTGTGTCCTGAATACTGGGATTAAAGAAAGGCATGTGCCTGGCCCTCTTTAGCACTTTTATTGTTGTTGTTTTTCTTTTCGGTTTTTCAAGACAGGGTTTCTCTGTGTGGCCTTGGCTGTCCTGGACTCAATTTGTAGACCAGGCTGGCCTCGAACTCACATCATCTGCCTGCCTCTGCCTCTGCCTCTGCCTCTGCCTCCCCAAGTGCTGGGAACACAGGTGTGTGCCACAACATATGTCTGTTATTTTATTTAATTTTTTTTTTTAGATGCCTGTTCATTTTCTTTTTTTCTTCAGCACTTTTAAAGGACCTTTTTCAGGACAGATTACTGGAAATGAAATTATCAGATAAGAGAGTATAGATATGTTTTAATACATAGAATTCCTCCTTACCCATCTCCTCTCCTCATCCTTCCGCTCCTCCATTGTGCTTACTAAGCCTGCACCATTGAGTTAGGTCTTCAGCTCCCAAGTCCTAAAAGGGAAAACCAGTCATCTTCAGTAGACATTTGCCAAGAATTCAGAAGGTGAAAGTGTCTAGCTTATTGATACCATTAGGCATTTCCTGTGCTGACAAGCTACTTCCTTTCCCTCCTGGGTCAAGTCCTTTGTATTTGTAGGAAGAATGTTTTTAGAGTCCCCTTTCTCTTACCTTCTTGGCTTTTTTTGCGAGACTATGTTTCTTCTCTTTATACCCCAGATTGTCTTGGAACTCCCAACGCTCTTTCTTGTCTTAGCCTTCTAAGAGATGAGATCACAGGCATGTGTCACCATGCATAGATTCTTGTTGCTCTTGTATAAGAAAAGTAGGAGGAGGAACTATTCAGAGACAGCTTAGTGGCTAAGCGTATACTGCTCTTCCAGATGACCAGAATCCTGTTCCCAGCACTCACATCAGGCAACTCGCAACCACCTATAACTCCAGCTCCAGGGCTTGTGTGGGCGCCTATGCACGCACATGCGCACACACACTTAAGTAACAATAGATCTTTCTCTTTATTGTTTATTATTCAGTTTGTGTTTGTTTTGAGCCAGGTTTTCTGTGTGTAGCCTTAGCTGTCCTGAAACTCCATCTGTAGACCAGGGTGGCCTTGAACTCACAAAGATCCACCTGCCTCTGCCTCCTGAGTGCTATAGGCATGTGCCACCACTCCAAGTTTTCTTTCTTTCTTTCTTTTCTTTTCTTTCTTTCTTTCTTTCTTTCTTTCCTTCTTTCCTTTTCTTCTTTCCTTCCTTCTTTCTCTCTTTCTTCCTTCTCTTTTTCTTTTCTTTCTTTTCTTCCTTCCTTCTCTTTCTTTCTCTTTCTTCTTTCTTCCTTCTCTCTCTCTTTTCTTTCTTTCCCCTTTCTTCCTTCCTTTCTTTTCTTTCCTTCCTTCCTTCCTTCCTTCCTTCCTTCCTTCCTTCCTTCCTTCCTTCCTTCCTTTCTCTCTTTCTCTCTCTCTCTCTTTCTTTCTTAGAAAGAATATGGGAAAGGGTGACCTCAACCTACCAAGTACTTTTGTTTGCAAATTACAGTGCTTCAGCTAGGACAAGGCAGCATTCTATCCCATAAAGACTTTGTAACCTCATGAGAAGACAAATGTCAAAGGGCAACTATGCTGAACAGCTTGTCACAGTTCCTCGGTGGTTGAGTACTGATTTGACCAGAGTCATCCAGAAGAAGAGGCAGGGTTTTTGTTGTTATGTTGTTGTTGTTGTTGTTATGTTTTGTTGTCATTTATTTTGTGTGTGCGTGTGGAAGCCATGATGTGCACATGGAGATCATGGGAGGATTGTGGGAATAATTGGTTGTCTCCTTCCACCATCTGGGTCCTAAGATTCAGGCTTGGTGGCAAGTGCCTTTATCCACTGAGCCATCTTGTCCAGCGTCTTCGTACCATGCTAGTTTAGTTTGCAGGATGTGTTCTGAGTGTAAGCGGACCGAGAGCTAGTCCTACTGTGCTTTGCTTTGGCTAACGGTACAGCACGGCTCGCGTCTGCTGCTCTCATCCACATCCTCCCCCAGACCCTCAGCAAAGCCCCTCGTCCATGTCCTACAGGTCCGTTACGCTACCTGGAGCATCATAATGGACTCCGTGGTGCCTTCTGACAAGGGCAACTACACGTGCATAGTGGAGAATGAGTATGGCAGCATTAACCACACCTACCAGCTTGATGTTGTGGGTAAGAAGGCCGTGGCCAAGGGGGCAAGAGTCAGTTAGAGGAAAGGGCAGGGTGGGAAAAGGCAGTTGAGGAGTCTGAGGCCTTAGGATGGATCACAGGAGGATTGTGGGAATAATTGGTTGTCTCCTTCCACCATGTGGGCCTAAGATTTAGGCTTGGTGGCAAGTACCTTTATTCACTGGGCCATCTCGTCAACCCTGAGGAGGTAGCTTTTGAAACTTGTCACATCAGGCACAGCAATGAAATTGACAAACACTGATGTAGTTCAGGAAGAAGATTCTGGCCTGGGAGATCTGGGGAGGGTCTAAGATGCTAGAATCTGGGGGTGCATCTCTGTTTAGACAAGAGACTTAGTTGTGCCTGAAAATGTGTGTGTGCAGGGCTGGAGGAAGTGGCATCCTTTTCCTCAGATCAGGTTGGAGGAGCTGGAGCTTAGCAGAGGCAGCAGGAAGGGTGCTGGGGAATCAGGCAGGGTAGGTAGGTCCTACCTCTGTCAGCAGTCCAGCCAAGACCAGGCCATTGAAGATTCTTAACATGTCCCCCCTTTCTTCCATAGAGCGGTCTCCTCACCGGCCCATCCTTCAGGCAGGGTTACCTGCCAACAAGACTGTGGCCTTGGGCAGCAACGTGGAGTTCATGTGTAAGGTGTACAGCGACCCACAGCCTCACATCCAGTGGCTGAAGCACATCGAGGTGAACGGAAGTAAGATTGGGCCAGACAACCTGCCGTACGTCCAGATCCTGAAGGTAATCTTCACCTCATTCTTGGCTAGTCTGCTGGGAAGGTGACCAGCTGTCTCCCCGGGGCTCGGTGTCTGGGATTAGGCACTCGGCCTTACCCAGAAGGCACATACTCCATCTTGGTAGGGATCTAGCCACAGGCTGGTGACAGCGGAAGATGGGGTGACCTGGGAACAGAGGGTGGAGTGGGTGACACCGATTGCTGGTTCCTAAAGAGCCTTGAGAGTGACTCAGTATCTTGGGTCAGTTACTCAAGGGAAGCATTAAACTCATGTTTGCTCGAGGCCTGGGACCACAGCCTTCCAACAGCAAATGTTTCCCAGTGTCAGTCCTGCTTGTTGCCTAAGTTACAATCTTTTGGCGAACGAGGTAATTGATAAGGGTGTTGCTGGAATAGCTGGAAAAGCAAATGCCACCTGTAAATTCTAAGCCGTCTGAGGAGTAATGGCATTTTCTTCCTTTTTCCTCTCACTCCCAGCCTCTCATTGTCCCTGAATGCTCCATTAATCCAGGGAGGCAATTGGCTAAGTCTCCAGTGGATCTGGCTGCAGGAATAACCAGAAGTTAGACCTCATCCTCCCCTGCCTTGGCTGTCCTGCAGATTTACTGGCTGTCCCTTCTCTTTGCCACTGGTGCTGAAAACATTCTGGAACAAAGGGGGCAGCTCTAGCTTTGGGCCTTGGAGCTCTTTCTCCGATTACAAGTTCCCACCCCAGTCTTGGTGGGGGTTGGGGGGTGGAGTTTAACACATAGTGAATATTTGCTTTGGGACAGTGATCCCTCTCCTCTCCTCCCTCCCACACCCTCCCGTCCCCCTCCTTTCCTTTTTCTTCCCCCCCTCCTTTCCATTTCCCTTTTTCTTCTCGGTTTTCCCTCCCCCTTTCCCTTCTGTTTTACTGTTTCAGCCTTCCCTCTCCATCCACACTTATTTAGCGGTTTCCTCTTGTTCCACTCAGAAAACTGTAGCTCTCAGCATCTCCCTTGCCTTGAAGGCTCCTTGGGCCCTGACTGAAAGTTACCCAGGAGCACAGTGTGGCCACATGTCAGTGTTTGCCCAACTGACTGGCGTGTCGTTGGTTTGTTCCAGCATTCGGGGATTAATAGCTCGGATGCGGAGGTGCTGACCCTGTTCAATGTGACAGAGGCCCAGAGCGGGGAGTATGTGTGTAAGGTTTCCAATTATATCGGTGAAGCCAGCCAGTCTGCGTGGCTCACTGTCACCAGACCTGTGGCAAAAGGTAATGGGGAGATGGACGGGACCCTATACCGGGTACTTGACTTAGGCCCCACACTGCTGGGGCAGGTTGGGAAGTCAGCCCTTCCTCCTACTGCGTTCCTAATGCCCAGAGCCATGGAAAAATCCCTGGCTTGGGGGGCCTGGTTTGGTTTGGTACTATGTGGTTCCCTCTGTGCCTTATGGATATGTGTTATCTGTGTGTGTGTGTGTGTGTATGTACTTGTGCCTGTCATGGACTTGTATGATGTTACGAATGATGCTTCAGACTGAAGTTTTCAATGGTGGCTAAGAGGAGGTATCTTTCAAACCAGTATCTGCAGGTCCTGTGTGTCTGGTGTGTGCGTGTGCATGTGTGTTGGGGATGGGGTGAGATTGCCTTTCTTTTCCTGCCATCTGACTGTCTTTATGTAAAACCAAACAGCCCCCCACCTGCCAGGTCCCATTTCTCCATGCTGCCCACCGCCCGCATGCTTGGCTGGGCCAGCGGCTGCCAGCGTCTGGTGAAGGGTAACCACGCCGTCGTCTCCTGAGGTCTGCGGAGCGCCTCCCTCAGGGCCTCACTCTTTTCCTCTAACAGGTTTCGCTGCCTGGTGGTTTTTTTTTTTGCCTTGTTGCAGGGAGATGCTGGGGATCATTTCTTCCTGTGGTTTCGGTTCCCTTCTCTGTCCCCTCTGTTCCTCCGCCTCTCTGAGGTCTCATGTCTCTGTGCTTGTCCATTTTGCTTCCGTCGTCTCTTCTAGACTGCTGGAGTTAATACCACCGACAAGGAAATGGAGGTGCTTCATCTGCGGAATGTCTCCTTTGAGGATGCGGGGGAGTATACGTGCTTGGCGGGTAACTCTATCGGACTCTCCCATCACTCTGCATGGTTGACCGTTCTGGAAGGTATACACTGCACCGATCCTTTCCATGTCCTGCCTTTGCCACGGGCGCGGCGCATCCATTACAGGGCCGGGGAGAGCCACAAAGGGACAGCTCCCATCTGCTGCGTGCCCCGTTTTGCTCCAGCTTTGAGGCACATGTAGTGGGGGGGGGGGGGGGAGTGTGGTCTTGGATTTTCAGACACACTGTCTGGCTCTCCCTGATCAGTGTAATGAATGCATGAGCTCTGGGTTTACCTTGCAGCAGGGCGGCCTAGCACAGGCTCCTTCTATCCTTGAGGGTAGCATGTTCCTTCATCCATTTTGGTACTGAGGGTTTGAATTACGGGGTCTTCTTTAGCCATTCCCAAATGTGTCAGCAAGAAAAGCCCTGGACCTCTTCTCCTTGAATACAGGTCCTTGGCCAGTAGGAGCATATGGCTTCATGGAGTGTTGCTGGCCTACTCTTCACTCTGCTGCACTTTGATTGGCATGCCTGGATGGCATATTTGGGCTACCTTAAGAAAGGCCTGTCTTAGCCACCTAGGAGGCCTAATGGTATCCATTTGACCTCTCTGACCACCTCTCCCGGCCTTCCCCTCCCAAGTGGGGAGGTCTGTGTCCGCCTACCAGCCAGGAAGGAAGGAGCCCTGTAGCCCTGCCAGGTGGTGGGCTGGTGACCACAGGACCAGGATGGTTTTTGCCTGCATGTGGCCTGAGCGCTGTTCTTCTGTGGCCGCTAAGTGCGTTCCCTCTCTGCTCCTCCTTTTGCCTTGGCTTGGCCCGAAGTCTCACTCACCACCGCTAGCAGAGACGCAGCCTGTTTTTATCATTGTCGTTCAGTCTGTGCTCCCTGAATCTTCATTTTCTGACGTTGGGGGAAAGGACAAACAGGACACTTTCCCTGTCATCAGCTCTGTCGTTTCCTTGTGGGGCCGGGAGGACTCCCAGAGTGTCACTTTTTCTTTGGCTGACTGAGGTTTTGAAAGGGGAGGGGACTGTCGGGGGCGGGGGGGGCTGTTTCCGTACGGGGCCAGGAGGTTCCCGTAGGCAGACACTGTTTCTTGTGCTGAAGGGAAAGGAGACTGACTGGCAGGTCGGAATGGGAATATGTCATAGTTGGGATTACTGTTACTGTGGTGGTGAGACCCATGCAAGTTGGGAAGGAAAGGGTTTATTCTGCTCACTCTTCCATATCACAGTTGATCATCAAAGGCAGAAACCCGGAGCCAGGAGCTGATGCAGAGGCTATGAAAGGGTGCTGCCTACCGGCTTGCTCAGCCTGCTTTTCTGCCATCAGTAATTAAGAAAGTGCTCCACAGGCTTGCTGAGAGCCCATTCTGAGGGAGGCATCTTCTCAGTTGAGGTTCCCTCCTTTCAGGTGACTTTAGCTTGTGTCGAGTTGACCTAAAACTAGCCAGCACGATAGGAATTCTACACAGGGGTGAAAGAACAAATTAAAATGATGCCCCCTACCCCATCTCAGCATTTCCTTTTATCTAGAGACATATCTAGGCTTTATATTTATTTTGCCTGTGTGTCATCCATTTGCTTGTCTGACCTAACAGAGGTGACAGGTGTTTAGAAGGACACAGGATGGCTACCATGAGCATTCAGGAGGCGTCACTCTGAGTGCCACTCCATGTTTTGGGCTTTGAGGACTGTCCCAGTCCCTAGGGCATGACAGCCTGTCTCTGTGTGATATATATGTACAGCATTGAGGTTCTGGTACCCGTCTAGCCCAGGAGCGAGCCAAGCAAGGAGGTCCTGGAATTGATGAGTACTGGGCTCGTATAGCGGGATAGTCTAGGCTTTACCTTCTCTGGGCTTAAAGATGCCTCCGAGGTCCCAAAAGGTCTGGTCCTTTTGGATGCCAGAATCCCAGTCTTAGCTGGGAGCCAACCAGATTCTCTCAGGGGAAAGGAGCAGGCTTTGGGTTTCTCACGGGGCATCCCTCTCTGAGCAAAGCACCGTGACCTGCTGACCCCTGTCCACTGACTCAGCCCTGGAAGAGAGACCGGCCGTGATGACGTCACCGCTCTACCTGGAGATCATTATCTATTGCACCGGGGCCTTCCTGATCTCCTGCATGGTGGGCTCTGTCATCATCTACAAGATGCGGAGCGGCACCAAGAAGAGCGACTTCCATAGCCAGATGGCCGTGCACAAGCTGGCCAAGAGCATCCCTCTGCGCAGACAGGTAACAGAAAGTAGATGGGGGATCTGCACGCTGACCACTGCCTCGCCTCCGGGGCCTGGTCCGTTTCCTACCCTCCCAGCTTTTCGTCATCTACTCCTTTGGTTGGACTTTGCTCCATCCTAGACCGCACACACAGGAACATTATAAACTAACTCTGGCTCTGTGCCTGCCCACCCTGTACCCCGGCCACAGAGGCCTCATTCTAACGCCTGAGACATGGTGGGAGGAAGTGGGTTAGAAGGTCCAGGTGTGTGACAGAGTAACTGTTCCTCAGAACGCTGCTGACCCAGAAAGTGTCTTAGGGAGCAGAGACCCATCGGAGGGAGAGTTTTTATAGAGCGTTGAGACAAGAAAAGAGCTGTTATATGGCGCACACCTGTAGTCCCAGCACTCAGGAGGCAGAGGCAGGTGGATCTCTGTGTGTTTGAGGCCAGCCTGGTCTACAGAGTGGGTCCAGGACAGCCAAGGCTACACAGAGAAACAGTGTCTCAAAAAACCAAAATAAATAAATAATAATAATGAAAATTCAAAAGCCATTATAATATTATAAATCAGCAAGCTGGAAGAGGTGTCGGTGGGCAAAATGGAGCCCAGAAAGACTTTTGTTTTTTTGGGACAAAATTTCTCTGTGTAACCCCAGGAGTCCTGGAACCCGCTCTGTAGACCAGCCTGGCCTCAAACTCAGAGATCACCCACCTCTGCCTCCCAAGCGCCGGGACTAAAGGCGTGCGCCACCACCGCCTGGCTCCAGAAAGACTTTCTGATGATAGAAATTACTCAGTCATAGAGCACTTACGGGTGGTTTGGTTTTGTTGTTTTGTGTTTTTCTCACCACACTGTTTCAGTGATAGAAGCAAGTCTGTGGCAAAAAGCTGGGGATCTGGGAGGAGCCGGTGACCGCTTCACCCTCTCTTTGCTAGAAAGGTGACCCCACTCTTTCTTACAGGTGTCAGCTGACTCCAGTGCATCCATGAACTCTGGGGTTCTCCTGGTTCGGCCTTCGAGACTGTCCTCCAGCGGGACCCCCATGCTCGCTGGAGTTTCTGAGTATGAACTTCCTGAAGATCCGCGCTGGGAGCTGCCTCGAGACAGGTAACAACACCACTGTCATGTTCCGCTGAGGGCCCCCACGCTTGTTCTAGGTGTAGAAATTGTGTATGCTGAGGCCTTCTAGGTACTTGCTACTTCCTGCTCTTGGTTGAGTGAAATACCAGGAAAATGGGGGATGAGCTGTCCTATCAAAGTTTGACCTTCCTGGGTGGTGGTGGCAGCACATGCCTCTCGTAGCAGCACTGGGGAGGCAGAGGCAGGTGGATCTCTGTGAGTTCGAGACCAGCCTGATCTACAGAGTGAGTTTAGGCTAGCCAAGGCTACACAGAGAAACCCTGTGTCAGAAAAACCGGGAGGAAGGGGTAGTTTGACCTTTACCAGCACCGCCTCTCCCTGTTTGTCCAGCCCTGACTGTCACTATTTGTTTCCCACTCAAGACTGGTCTTAGGCAAGCCCCTTGGAGAGGGCTGCTTTGGGCAGGTGGTATTGGCAGAGGCCATCGGGCTGGACAAAGACAAACCCAACCGCGTGACCAAAGTGGCCGTGAAGATGCTGAAGTGTGAGTGACGATTCCGATTCCTGTCAGGGTAGTCTCTTTCCTTTCTGAGCAAAGTAGGTCTGGACCAAGTAGAAGACATCCTGTGCTGCTGTCATCACTCGCACCAGCTACACTCCTGAAGGGCTAATCTGGGGGTGGGGGAGGGGCGGTGGCACACCCAGCACTTAAATCTCTTGTTTCTTGATGTTGCCCTGGGCTCTGGTGCTCATCTTAGTCCCCTAACTGGCTGCCTTTACTCAGAGTTATCTCTAGCCGCATTTTAGTACCTCACCGTGGTAGTCATGGTTCCTGGGTGGGAAGTAGGAGGGGAAAAAGCAAGTCCTGGAGATAGGGGCGTGCCTCCTGCATCTGCTCCCCTCCCCCACTGCCTCCACTGTCCCAGCCCTTAGCTGTCCTTCCCATCTCCTTCACCTCCCTCTTTGCTCTGCATGTGAAGCTGACGCAACGGAGAAGGACTTGTCAGATCTGATCTCAGAGATGGAGATGATGAAGATGATTGGGAAGCACAAGAATATCATCAACCTGCTGGGAGCCTGCACACAGGATGGTAGGCGGCTGCTAGGGTCAGGTCTGGGCTCTGGGCATCGGCTGAGACCCTGGCTTGGTGGGGTGGCGGGAGGGGGGGAGGGGTGTTCATGTGTTTCTAAGGGGCCGGTCTGGCCAGATTGGCATTCACCTAGATTGAGTGTGTGAATGGGAATAAGGATATTCTTGGAGTCTACGTTAAGGCTTCTGTCCTTGGCTTTCTGGACGACACTGGGAAGAATTCTTTCTCTGGCATTGGGCAGAATGACTTCTCTGTCCCCCTCCGGAGGAGGCAGGAAAGAGGGTTTATGCTAGGCATGGGACACACGTGGACTGTGACAGTAGGAGAGCCTTCCGTTAGGTGTAGCTGCACTTGGGAACCTATTGCCTGACTTGTGGTCTTTGTGCTCTCAGGTCCTCTTTACGTCATCGTAGAGTATGCCTCCAAAGGCAACCTTCGGGAGTACCTGCAGGCCCGGAGGCCTCCTGGGCTGGAATATTGCTACAACCCCAGCCACAATCCTGAGGAACAGCTGTCTTCCAAAGATCTGGTGTCCTGTGCCTATCAGGTGGCCCGGGGCATGGAGTATCTTGCCTCTAAGAAGGTACGGAGCTGAATGCATCTCTTCCCACAAAGGCAGGATGGGGCTGAACCTGCCTAGCACTCCAGTTTATGTCTATATGGTCCACAGCTGGCTTGGAGCTCCTGGTCCTTCTGCCTCTGTGTGCCTTTCCATAGCTGGCTCTGGCTTAGGAATGTTAATCCCTTAGAGCTGTGGGTGCCTGACTGTCTGTGTGTGTCTGTCTGTGTGTCTATGTGTCTGTGTGTGTCTTGTTAGGCGCTCAGAAAGCTGGGAGAGTCCTTGTAGCCTTGGGGTCAGACTGATTTAGATTGGAGAGGTTGCAGTCAATGTAACCACTGACTGTATAGACTCAGACACCTTTTTTTTGTTTTATTTTTTGAGACAAGGTTTCTCTGTGTAGCCTTGGCTTTCCTGGACTGGCTTTGTAGACCAGGCTAGCCTCAAACTCAGAGATCTGCTTGCCTCTGCCTCCCTGAGTGTTGGGATTGCAAGTACGTGCAGGCAGCTATTTTGCTATTTTTCATTTATGTTTTTCTTTTTGAAATTAAGGTGCTGTTTTTAACAGAGGCCACCCTTAGATTCATCATGTAGCACAGGCTGGCCTTAAGTTTGTAATTATCTCGCCTCGGTCTCTCAAGTCCTGGGATTACAGGCATATGCCATGAACCCAGCTTTATATTTCTTTTTGATTTTTTTTTTTTTTTTTTTTTTAAGATTTATTTATCTGCCAGGCATTGGTGTGGTACAATTCTTTAATCCCAGCATTCAGGGGTCAGAGACAGGAGGATCTTTCCGAGTTTGAGGCCAGCCTGGTCTGTGTAGAGTGAATTCCAAATCTATACAGAGAAACCCTGTTTCAAAAAACAAAAACAAAACCAAAAAAAAGTTTATTCATATGAGTGCCCTACCTGCATGTACGCCTCCATGACAGAAGAGGGGCATCAGATCCCACTATAGATGGTTGTCAGCCTCCATGCGGTTTCTGGGACTTGAACTCAGGCGCTCTGGGAGAGCAGCCAGGGCTCTTCATCTCTCAAGCACCTGTATTTCCTCAGCTACAAAACAAGAGCGTTTATTCCTGTGCAGTAGCATTATTGTGAGGATAAGATGAACTACGCCTGTGAAAGTGCCGGTCACAGAAAGTGCTCATTGTATCTTTGTTTGAACTCCCTTCCCACTGCGGACATGCTCTGCAGGACAGGCTCGGTACCCATACCTCCACAGACCTAGCCTAAGCCCAAAGGGTGTGTTTTGCGGTTGTAATTCTCGAGGTTAGAGGTTAGGATAAAGAGAGAAGGCTTTGGAGGCTTTGCTAAAAGACTGCGAAGGCTGAAGTTGAAGATGTCTGGAATTAAGGAATACTTGAGGGGGGGGGTTCTAGAGGGTATGGGGTTGTCTACAGGGTATGGGGCGTGACCAGAGGGCATGTGTATGGGCTAGAGACCTGTGAGGCAAAGTGGTCCTGCCGCCCGCTGCACAGTAAGTGCTGGAGTCGAGGGTGCTAGGCAGCTGAGTGGCAGTTCGGGGCGGTCACCTCTCCCTGCTGTTTCCCCCCTACAGTGCATACACCGAGACCTGGCTGCTAGGAATGTCCTGGTGACCGAGGACAATGTAATGAAGATCGCAGACTTCGGCCTGGCTCGGGACATTCACCATATCGACTACTACAAGAAAACCACCAACGTAAGGGTCTCGCTTGGTATGCGTGGCCTGGGCCCCACGCCGCTAGGGTCCTGCCCACTTCGGTGCCTGTGCTCTACTCACCTAGGGTTCTGTGGTCGAAGAAAAGGGGCTGGAGGGTGGGCTGAAAGTGTCTGTTCCATGCCCAGGGTCCCACCCACTTGTCCCCTTACCGCCTGGAGCCACCATCTTCAGTTTATCCCATGAGTCACACACACAATGCTGCATTGCAGGGCCGGCTGCCTGTGAAATGGATGGCACCTGAGGCATTGTTTGACCGGATCTACACCCACCAGAGTGATGTGTGAGTTGGAGATGCACACTTACCTGGGATACGCTGGGGAAAGAATCCTAACAGCCCTGCATCCCTAGGCTAATGAGAATCTCATTGGTGGTTCAGAGTGGGGGGCGGGGGAAAGCAATATTGTTCCATCAACGACATGGTCCCGCCTTCCTTGCCTCTTGCCGCCCCCTCGTCTCCTGTGTCCCTCCACCACCACCCCTGAATTTAAAGGCTGTGTTGAAGCAGGAGAGGTTCAAGATGAGCACCTCCTATGCTGACTTTTCAAGAGGACTTGTGAAAGAACCTGCAAGGGCAGCCTCACCCCATGGCACTGTGCTCTCCTGTAGGTGGTCTTTTGGGGTGCTCTTGTGGGAGATTTTCACTCTGGGTGGCTCCCCGTACCCTGGCGTGCCCGTGGAAGAACTTTTTAAGCTGCTGAAGGAGGGTCACCGAATGGATAAGCCCAGCAACTGCACTAATGAGCTGTAAGCGTGGATTTGTGGGAAGGCTGGGGAGGGTTGGTAGTTGGCGGCCATTTGCGTCCATGGTTGGTAAGCTGGGTTGGAGGCTGGGGCAGACAGGGTTCCTTGGGCAGCGGCTCATGGGGGGTTCCTGAGGTTCCAAGCCAGGCTCAGAAGGAAGCAGGAGCACAGTGGGCAGGGGGTGAAAGAAAGCTCTGTGTTTGGAGGAGGTGGTCTTCCTGACCATCCCTCCCCAAGCCCCCTGGCCCACTCTGCTGTTATCCTCCCCATTTGACCACGCTGTCCTGCTTCAGGTACATGATGATGCGGGATTGCTGGCATGCAGTGCCCTCGCAGAGGCCTACTTTCAAGCAGCTGGTGGAAGACCTGGACCGCATTGTGGCCTTGACCTCCAACCAGGTAGGGCTTGCCCTGGGCTGGAACTTGGGCCATCGTCAGCCAGGCACTTAAGGGGACAATGTCGTAGGAAGGGCCGCTCACCCTTCTCTCCTGTCACAGGAGTATCTGGACCTGTCGATGCCGCTGGACCAGTACTCCCCCAGCTTTCCTGACACACGGAGCTCCACCTGCTCTTCAGGGGAGGACTCTGTCTTCTCTCATGAGCCGTTACCTGAGGAACCCTGTCTGCCCCGACACCCGACCACCCAGCTTGCCAATGGAGGACTCAAACGGCGCTGACTACCAACCTTCTCCCGATTTCGTCGTCACCCCGTGTCCCTCGTCCACAGTTCCCTGCTGGACACACTGCCTTTCTCCTTTGCTGCTGGCAAGAGCCAGTGCCTAACTGAGGCCTTCCTGTGTGGCCGACCCCACCATCACCCCTTGGCACCCCTCTTCCTCTTCTTAGCCTGCTGTGTGTGAGAGGAGCCAAGAGGCAGGTGCTTGATGGTAGCCACTTCCTCCTTCCCAAGTGTTGGACCAAGACCCACCCTGCTGCCTGGCACTGCTTCGAGGTCTGGGGAGTGGAAGCAAGTGGAACGGGTGTGCAAGCAGGAGCTTACTGAGTGTTCTTGTTGGCCCATTAGCCCCTTGTGATCTGGTGGCAGGGGCCTTGGGCCTGCTGAAGCAGTGAGCTTTCTGGTCAGGCCTTAACCGAAGGCGACCTCTGCTGCAGATGGATGGTACCGGTGGCTTCTTAATTCCAATATTAATTTGCTTTGCTGACCAAATACCTGGTACCAGAAGGCAGGGAGGCCGAGATTGGGAGCAGTGATGCCCTTGGGCTGAGCCCTGGACTCGGGGCTCTGTATATAGCTATGAAGAAAACACAAAGTGTATAAATCTGAGTATATATTTACATGTCTTTTTAAAAGGGTCCTTACTAGAGATTTACCCATTGGGTGAGATGCTCCTGGTGGCTGGGACGCATCAGTCGCTATATATTAAAAACAAAAACAAAAAAAAGGAAAATGTTTTTTAAAAGGTCATATATTTTTTGCTACTTTTGCTGTTTTATTTTTTTAAATTATGTTTTAAACCTATTTTCAGTTTAGGTCCCTCAATAAAAAAATTGCTGCTGCTTCATTTTTATCCTGGGTGTGTGACAAGGGAGCAGGTATCCACAGCAAAGGAAGGAGACAGGGACTGAGGGGTCATGACTGTTGGCCCTGCGTGCTTTATTCCCTCATGACCTCTTCCTTCTGCATCATGCGTGAAGACCTCCCAGACAACCCTTCTATCTCTGATGCTTTGGGAAAGAAGATAGGTACTGAAGGCCGAAGGCCAACAACCACAGGCTTGATTGTTTTCCTCAGGATGAGACTAGCCAGAGAATAGAACTGAACATAACCCCAGACGCCGTGCGAGGGAGCCTGTGCATCTGTGACAGAAAATTTGTCACCCAAAGCTAGTTCTGCATTCAGGTGTTTTGACTTTCCCAACTGACTTTTTTATTTTCCTCTCCCATGTGTCTCTTCCTCCCTGGGTCCCTGTTAACCAGGTTGCATCTGCTTGGCTTCCTGTAGTTTTTCCTTCCTATAGTTTTTCCATCCCTCCAGGAAAGGGAAAACTCATCTCTTTGGTTTAAGTCTGCTTGGAAACTTACTTCTGCCACCTGCTGGTTGTTAGCGGTACCTTAGTATCTTATTCAAACCAGCGTCACTCTGTCCTTAGTGCTTTTTCCTGGGTCGCTGCTGAATAACAAACAGTTCAATAAGCTTGCATCCTGTAGGGGTTAGGCTGCTACTTTAAATATGTTCTGAACTGGGCAGCTTTTGTAGCTGTGGTTCGGGTCATCATCCTAGAGTTCTTACCACTGTTTGTCTCTGTGCACATGTAACTAACTAACTGTCCAACAAAATATTACAAGTGGTTTTTATGCTGAAAGAAAGCATAATTTGGCAAAGAGGGCCAGGAAATGAATTTTAGCTCAAACTCATTTGCTTGGAGACCATATCATAGTGTCTGTCTTTGTTAAAATAGTGACCAGAATTTCTCCCTCAGCTCTGCTTGACTCAGTATTGTGTGGATGGATGGGAGAGTCTATAAGGGATGTATATGACTTGAGGAAAGGGACTAGGAACTATACAGCACTGAAGTTCTTGCTGTTACTATTCAAATTGCCCACAAATATCCCCAGAGACAGGGACGGCTATCAAATAAAAGACAGTGAAATTGACCTGAAAGAAAATGAAATGGCTGTTTTACTTAGATGACCAGACTGAGTCTCCTGGGAAAGGGAATCATCGTATATAATGAAGATGTGCCCTAGAGCACTGCATCTTCAGTCTGGTTTCCCAGGGGTTAAAATATGGCCGAGGCATCAATCGATACTGCCTTTCCATCTTTTCTAATTGCCACAGGCTAAAGATCATCAGTCCCTTGGCTCTGTTAATGTAATCTATTGATTTCAGGTAAGTAAGATTGAACACAGATGAAGGAATCTGCCTTAATGGTAATGAACTCTCGGTGTTTATCAGCTGCCACTGGGTGGAGCCAGCAAGCTAAAATCTCTCTCAGTATTAGGTAATGAGCCAGTCTGCTCTGAAGTAACAGACCTAACCTGCAAATGGGAGTCTTTGGCCTGCGTGGAGCATTGTGAAACCCTGGGCTTGACCAAGATGGCTTGAACAGGACTAGACCAGACACAGGTCTATACTATTATAAATGCCAACAGCAACTATTGTAGCAGGATTCTGTGTTAAGACGTGAGCCTTGTCTAATGTCACTACAGGTGCATGTTAGGGCCAAAAGATGCTCGCAGTGAGATTGCTAGCAGCTGGTGGAGCCAGAGCATCTGCAGCTGCAGGGGAGGGGTGAGCAGTGAGGGAGAAAACAGGGCTTTGAAGCAACATGGCGTAGCCGTCCATCCCCTTAGCTGGTAGAAACCAAGAAGGGAGAAGACCGGCAAGAACCCTGAAGTTGTCTGGACCTGTGACGAATGCCTTTAATCCCAGCACTCAGAAGGCAGAGGCAGGCAGATCTGAGTTCAAGGCCAGCCTGGTCTACGTTGTAAGTTCAAAGATGCACAGTGGGACTCCTGTCTAAAAGAAAATTAAACGAACAATAATACTGACGTTTTGAAGGACTGGACCAGGTTCCCTCTGACACGTCAGAGCCTTCAGAATTGTCTTTACTGTACTGCCTCCCAGACACATGCGTGTTCCAGTACATAAAAGTAATGCATTCAGTGGCCATGCCACCATACATTCCAGGGTATGCAAGAGCTGTGTGCTGCTTTGCATGGAACTCATCCATGGGGGAGCATTTCCATCCTTGGAATCTGCAACTGTGGCTACTAATCATTGGCCAGAGCATTGCCGGTGAGGTTTCAGCCTGTGGTTATGACCAGGTGCCCCAAGTGTTAAAAACAGAAATGTTGATGTCATCTATAAAGATGGGTAGAAAGTTGTATCAAGTGTCTCACCAGCCTAGAAGTTAACAGAAACAGCGAGTTCGAGGCCAGACTGGGTTACATGAAACTATCTTAAAACACACACACATGCCTTTAATCCAAGCATGCTGGGGCAGGGAGGCAGGAGCATGTGAATCTATGATCAAGGCCAGTGTGGTCTATCTACACAGAGAAACCTTGTCTGGGAAAACAAAAACCCACAAATGAACAAGAGGGAAAGTACGGGACTTGGTAACACACCTTTAATCCAGAACTCAGGAGGCACAAGTGGGTAGATCTCTGTTAAGTTCAAGGCCAGCCTTGTCTACATAGTGAGTTCTAGGCCACCCAAGATTGCAAAACACACGGGTTCATTAGCCTGCAGAAATCAGTTAAGGGGCAGCACAGAGTGGGACATGTCCTCCATGATGGGAGCATTGTGAGGTACATGTTCTGCCCTGGGCCCTAGTTCAATTGCTAGCATATGAGACTAAGCATGAGGACTAACCAACACTGGATGGTCAGTGGTAGGCCACACCTTTAATCCTAGCACCCTGAGTTCAAGGCCAGCAGGGCTACACAAAGAAACCTTGTCTTGGGGGGTGGGAATCTGACTTAGCTGCTTGGTAACAAGTAGCAAGGGAATGTATCAAGCCTTACTACCAGCCTCTGTGACAGGCTGACCAGAAAAAACGTGCCCAGCCCAAATGGTGAAGCCTTGATTATGTGCTCGAACAAGTCCACCTTCCAAGTTCCTGTAGCCTCTATGGGCACAGGATTTTGTTTTGTGTTTTTTTTAAGACAGGGTCTCACTATGCAATCCTGGCTGTCCTGGAACTTCCTATGTAGACCAAGCTGGATTTGAACCCACAGAAATCCACCAGCCTGTTCCCTGAGTGCCAGAGTCAAAGGTGTACACCAGCAGCAGCCGCCAGCAGGTTTGGTCAGGTGTGTGAGTGCTTCACTTGCATGCGTGTGCACCATGTGTTGGCTGTTCCCATGAAGTTCAGAAGAGGGGGCTGGGTTCTGAGAGACTGGAGTTAGAAGTGGTTGTGGGCCACCATGTGGGTGCTGAGAACCAAACCTGACCCTCTGCAAGAACAAGTGGGAAGTAGACCCATCCTGGCCCACTGGCACTTAGGGCACGGTTCCGCTGAAGAGTCCCCCCTGCAGAGTCCCCCTGCGTCCCCCTGCGTCCCCCTGCGTCCCCCTGCGAAGGCTGGTCAGGTGCTTTTAAAGGTAGTTTGGGGAATCTCCAAGTTCTGACTAGGGATACAAGGCACATGAGACAGAGATGTCCAAGGTGCCACGCTGACTCCATAGTGGAATACATTTCCTCTTAAAAGGTCCACACCCAACTGAGCCTAGTGGCATAGGTCTATAATCCCAGCTATTCGGGAGTTTGAGGAGAGGGAGGCTGAAAACTCAAAGCTAGCCTGGGCAATTTAGACCTTACCTTGAAATTTATTAAAAGTAAAAGGGTGAGGGATACAGTCCAGTGCTAGAGCACTTGCCTAGAAACCACAGGGCCCTGACCTCAGTCCCCAACACTGGACCCCTCCCCAGGGGCACACAGGCAGGAAGCCATTCAAGACAACGTGGTAGGAGTGGTTTCACACAATGTTTAGTAAGATGACACAATTACACAGTATAGACTGCAATTAAGCTTCTCTAAATGGCTTGAACTTGGTGTCACAGCTCGAATCCCTGGAATGGTCACGAGGCCTCCAACGACCTAATGGCTGATCCTATCTCAAGCCAGATGGTCTTAGCTAGAATTCCTTCATGGACACCACTGCTGAGGGGCAGTGACTGGAGAGAGTGGGCTCCACCTCCACCGGGTCCTTAGGCTCCTTTTGAATTCGCCTTGCTGTTCTTTGAGGTCTTCTGGGACTTGGCCTGGAGGATCTAGATACAAGGCAAGACTTCAGGCTTCGGTCACAAGCTGCTTACATTCTTCAGGCATCCCCTTTTACCTTCTTGGCCAAGCTAATGGCCACATGCCTGTGGTCCCCCGCCTGACTGTAATCCCTGCCCCCAGGCTGCCAAGGTAGGAGAAAAGGCCTGAGTTCCAGGAAAGCTTAAACTTCAGAGTGAACATCCTGTACCCCCAGCCCTCCCCAAAGGGGAAAACAAAGAAACAAACTAGACAGTGTGGCCACGAAATCAGATGTGTGTCAACTGCTTTGGTAATAAAGGTGAAGACACAAACAAGCATGGGCCTCGGGCTCATTCTCCGAATGCCTACCCAGCACAGGCTCACAGGCTGTCACACACAGCTCCTCTGTCCTCCAGCCAGCCCCTTCCACTGGGTGACCTTCCTGCTGCTCGCCAGTGCCATGCTTTCTCCCCCAAACTACTTCACCCAAATGGGAGAAGTGGGCACAGGCAGTTCTCATTTACATGTATTTTTCTAAAGCTGATTGCTTTCCTGCTAGTATTCCCTCACATTAGGAGCCTCTGTAAAGTACATACCATGTGGAAACCATTAGCATTTAGCACACACACAGAAAAAAAGGCCTGCCTATAGCACAGCTTCTAGAGTTCACATGCCATCACTGCATCGGCGGCGAGGTTTGGGGGGGTTGGTTTGGTTTGTTTCCTTTACTTTGGATAACAGGTAAAAAGATAGCAATTAGGAGATGACTGGAGTCCAGCCTACAACTTCCTGTTTGGATGACAGGAAGAACTGTACAGTGTTCTGTGGTACTTATGACTCTGGTGTCTTGGGGCCCTTACAGATCACTGGGGAGAGCAGTTTCTCTGAAGATTACTTACTGCTTCTTTGGAAACAGTTGCTGGTGGTGTTTTGACTGATGGTGGTGCTGGGGGCACTTGTATAAATTCTTCATCCTGAAAACAGTAGAATTGAGAGATTAGTGATTTAAACCAATGCAAGCTAGGATCTACCGTGAATACCAGGAACTTTTAACAACTACGGTTTGAAAGGTAAGAATCTGAAACTTACATGTCATCAAATAGTTGATTTAAAACATTATTTTTGGCAGTGCTACGGATGGGAGCTGTGGTTTCACGTTTTCCACAAGCCGGGTGCCAATGAGCAACATGCTCTGTCCCAAAGATTGAACTTTCTTAAACTAGATTCATCATCCTAAGAGATGTTCTTTATTACCAAGTAGCACCACACCGAACACAATGAATTCTGCTCTATTGGGAGGATTAGAAATGCAGATAATTGGCTGGTGTGTGCACCTGTCATCTTGGCACTTGGGAGGCTGAGGCAAGGGATCCTTAGCTACACAGTCAGTTTCCTTTGAGGAAAACGAAGTCAACATTGAAAAAAAAAAATTTTTTTTTTAAAGCTTAATCAAGTAGAAAGAAAGTAACTAACCTTAGTTTCCTTTAGTTGGGGGGCAGGATCCTCAATATTCTCCTTTGACTCAGGGGGACTAGATGACATCATGAGAAGCTTTGCCTTTGGAGCCTGGGGAAATATTGTGCAAGTGTGAACTGTTCTGCCGAGAAACTCTCGTAAGGAATTATGTGCCTTTAAGCAACCTGCCTTCCTGCCTGCCTCTCTCTCTCTCTCTCTCTCTCTCTCTCTCTCTCTCTCTCTCTGTGTGTGTGTGTGTGTGTGTGACAGAGGCCGACAGGGTCTCGCTATGTAGATCTACCTGGTCTAGAACTCACCTCTGACAGGATTAAAGGTGTGTGCCCAATTACATATTTCTCTATTTTGTTGTTTTGAGATGCATTTCACGGTGAAGCCTGGCCTGGAACTCACTAACTATATAGACCAGGCTGGTCTTGAATTCACAGAGACTGCCCCTGCCTCTACCTCCTGAGTGCTGGGATTAAAAGTGTGTGCCACCATGCCTGGTAGATTTTTTTTTTTGGGGGGGGGGGTTACATGGTATATGCTCCTGCAATAGCAAGTTAGTATCTGAATTCTGAGCACCCTATATACAAAAGTTGAACACTATGTAGATTCTAGGACTTGAAATAAGATCTAGTGTCTTCTTCTGGCATGCTAGTATATATGCAGATAGAACATTGTATACATAATAAATAAATAAAATATATATATAAAAGAGAGAGAAAGAAGGAAGAGAAAAGGCAAAAACAAGCAAACAAAACAAAAGGCAAACAAACTAGGCCCAGTGGCCCATGCCTTTACCCCAGCACTTAGAAGTTATCGTCAGGGGAGCTCTGTGAATATGAGACCAACTTGGTCTCCATAGTGAGCTCCAAGTCCATCAGGGCTTCTCAGTGACTTACAAACCAAAACAAACAAACCCCCCCAAAACATAAAACAATTCAGCAATTCTGATATTAATGTCAGTCAGAAAAACAAAACAAAACAAAACAAAACAAAAAAAAAAAACCAACGGGCAATGAGGGCATGCACATTTAATCCCAGCACTCAAGAGGCAGAGGCAGGAGGATCTCTGAGTCCAGCCTGGTCTATAGAGTGAGTTCTAGTACAGCTAGGGCTACACAGAGAAACCCTGTCTCAAAAAAACAAAAAACACACACACAAAAAAAACCAACCAAGCAAACAAAAACCCTACAGAAGAAAAAAAAAACGAATTGGAAAGAAGGGGGGGGGAATTAACATTCTAAGTTAGCCCTTATTTGCTTTAGAATTTATAGAAATTTGGACAAATGAAAGGAAGAAAAAAATAGGAACAAATGGGAAGGAAAAGGGACCATTATATTAAAAGAAGTGTACAGGGGTTGCTGATTAGAAGTACTAGACGTCAAAGCCAGTTAACCTAAGTTCCCAAAGTCGTCTGCTCTGACTGGAAGACACTGGCGGAGAGGCCTGTCATGAGGTGAATCAGCTTCTGCATCAGTTCACTCACCTCTATACTTGGCGGTAGTTCAATAGGCTTTGGCTTCACATCTATCAGGTAGAAGGTCCGTGACAGGAGCAGAAGAGAAGGAGGGACATTCTCCTTCAAGTGGAGGTCCAGCCACTGGGGAATGGGAGATAACCAAACATGGAGTCAGACTGCTGTAGCCAGAAAGGACTTGTGGTCATCTGTTGCTTCCCTTGTGGCTTTTCTCAAAGCACACTGATAACCTGCGGCACGACAATAAAGACACCAAGCTGGGAGAGGTGGCGCACGCCATCGGTCCCACCATTCAGGGAGGCAGAGGCAGGTGGATCTCTGAGGCCAGCCTGGTCTGCAGAGCAAGTCTAGGACAGCCAACGCCACACAGAGAAACCCTGCCTCAAGAAAAAACAAAACAAAACAAAACAAAATAAACAAAGAAAAAACCCCATCAGTCTCCTGGCTTGTAGCCCTGGGCAGGTACCTGGTGAACACTCAAACTCTGCATCCAATTCTGGATCCAAATAGCCCAGTTTCTTCTCAGCAAAAATGGTGTGTGTGAAAGGATAAACCAGAAGCCTGCAATCTAGACATGGGAGGCTGAGGCAGGATGTTGAGTTCAAGGCCAGCCTGGGCTACATGGCGAGAGCCTGTCTCAGAATAATAAACAACCTTATTAACCAAAGAGGTCAACATTAGAATGAAGATGTGATATAAATTTTAAAGCATGAACTTGGCCAAGTTTTTTGTTTTGTTTTGCTGTTGTTTTGTTTTTGGTTTTTTTTGTGTGTGACAGGGTTTCTTTCTGTAGCCTTGTCTGCCTGGACTCACTTTGTAGACTCACGGATCCACCTGCCCCTGCCTTCCAGAGTGCTTGGATCACAGGTGTGTGCCACCGCGCCCAGCTGTTTGTTGTTTTTTATTTTTGCTTTGCAGCCCGGGCCTTTCACTTGCGTCAAGTCTCCTAAGTGCTGGGATTGCAGGCCTGGGCCACTAGTCACAACTGTCTTGTAAAATCCTGACATAATGAGTGATACTGTTTCGTACTGTGTGTGTAGTGTGGATCTGAGAGTGAAGGTCAGAGGATATACTTTGAAAAGCATTCTTTCCTTCCAGCATTGGTTCTGGAAACTGAACTCAGGCATCAGGCTTTTTTTTTTTTTTTTTTTTTTTAGTGTTAGTTACAGTTTATTAACATTGAAAAATATGGAACGCTTCACAAATTTGTGTGTCATCCTTGCTCAGGGGCCATGCTAATTTTCTCTGTATCGTTCCAATTTTTAGTATATGTGCTGCCGAGTGAGCACGGCATCAGGCTTTTCTGACAAGCGTTTTTATCCTCATTGAAATACTCTGAAATTGATTCGTGTTTGTAGGTGCAGTACTACCCCCTTAAACATCTGGACGTGTTTCCATTGTGTGAAAATGCCATATTTTATTTGATAATCCTATTAATAATCTCTGGAATAACTCTAATCCTTAAAAATGGTGCTGCAAGGGAAAGCATTTAATCCCAGCACTCAGGAAGTAGAGGTAGGTAGATCTCTGAGCTCAAGGGCAGCCTGGCCTACATAGTGCTTTCTAGGTCAGCCAGGCGAACATAGTGAGATCTGTGTCTAAACAAACAAAACAGAACAAAATATAGGCTAGGTGCAAAAGAGGTGGCTCAGCGGTTAAGAGTGTGCACTGTTCCTGCAGAGGACCTGGGTTCAGCCAGCACCCATGCCAGGCAGCTCACAGCAGTCTCTACCTCCAGCTCCAGGTGGCCATCAGATGCTCTGGTCTCCATGTTTCCTGTGTTTTTTGGGACAAGGGCCTCATGCCCTCTACGACCCAGGCTGCCCTTGAACTCTTGGTGAAGCTTATAGCTCAGCTTCCGAAACACTAAGATTGCAGATATCATCTACCAAGTCAGGCAGTTGTATGTGTTTTTATCTTTAGAAAGATGATGTAGTTTGTCTCCATGGAATTTTTATTTTTTAACTAGCAACGCCTAAAGCAAAGTCTGAATTTTGCCATGAATGTGGCTTGTCTTTGTTTTCTTTTCTTTCTTTCTTTCTTTTTTTTTTTTTTTTTTTTCAAGACAGGGTTTCTCTGTGTAGCCTTGGCTGTCTTGGACTCGATTTGTAGACCAGGCTGGCCTCGAACTCACAGAGATCCACCTGCCTCTGTCTGCCTGAGCGCTGGGATTAAAGGTGTGTGCCACCACTCCTCCTCCATTCTTCTTCTTTTTCTTTCTGTTTGTTTCTTTGTTTTCATTTATCTTATGAGTCAGGTTAAAAAGTATCTTTCTCTCTCTTTTTTTTTTTATGACAAGGTCTCATTCTGAAGCCCATACTGTCCTAAAACTTACTACATAGACCAAACTAGCCTCAATTCATGGGACTTCCTCTGCCTCAGCTTCCCACCACTGGGGCTGCCCTCTATAAATGTTCATTCTCCAGTTACAGCTCAGCAGATAAAATGAACAAGGCTTCTCTGCTGTGCAAGGTATAACTGTGCTGGCAGGGGACCACAGAGCTGGCGCCAAGCACCCATCAGTTGGAAGCACGGATGCTGTCTCCCCTCCTTCACATGCATTTTGTCCCAGCAGCGGGAAGCTGGCCAATACAGCTTGCAAAGCGGACATCAGCATATGAGGTCTGTGAGTGGAAGGGGAGAAGGCCCTGGTGAGGAGGGCTGGAGTGCTGCTTGCCTCTGTGAGCTGCTGCCGCAGTTGTTCCTCTGTGAGACCCAGCGACCTCATCCCCCGGGCCCGGCACGCAGACTGGAGCTCTGACACTGTCAAAGCCTTCACCCCTTCCTTGGCAATTATCTGAAAGAAGTGTAAAGAGTGTTACATCTTTGGATTTCAATTTTACTTAACCCCTATATTCCAGAACAATCGAAAGAACCCCCAAATCTGATGCTTTGGTCCTCTGTCCCCCTGCACTGAGTGCCACAAACCGGCGATTTAGGAAGGTGACAACTGAGACACCACTGATACTGCTCACGGACAGACTGTTATATAACTGCTCCCAGCATTTTTATCAGTGAAGTATGTCCTGTCTTGGTCTGGATCTTGTATGGTTGTAATATCTACTTTTCCTTTTAATTTTAGGGCTTGTTTGGAAAAGAAAAAAGAAAAAAGAATTCCTGTTGTGAAAAGCTTCCCGATACCATTTATCCTGTGTCTCAGTTCCGTCTCCTCTACCCTCACCCCCAAAACGGCCTGAGTTTTCCGGTTCACAAGATCCCCAATAAATCACAATTTCTGCATGGTGTGATCCCAAACTACAGTTCTCCTGGGACCAGTATTGTTCATACCAAAGCTCTGAAAGCAACATCCAAAATCTAAATAGGGTCAATGCCCTTGTGCCTTCCCTGCTTTGGGAAACCTGCTTCCCCAAGCAGAATGCCACAGCAGCTGATTCAGATTCAGGAAACAATCTTTCCATCTTTTAAAAGAGCCTAATTAGTAGTTACGTCCCAAACAATGCCTTCTGCAAGATGGCTGGACCTTGGTTTTCCTCCTAGCACGATGCTCTGCCACCCTCTTTTTACCAGACCAACTCACCCTGCAGAATATTCACTTTGGTACCAGTTCCTCTGTAGGAGAACAGAGGTGTGTGTGTGTGTGTGTGTGTGTGTGTGTGTGTGTGTGTGTACACTTGCGCATGTGTTAAAGAGATGAGAGTTGCTGCCACTAATACACTGAGCTGATATTTCCTTCTAACTACTTCAGATTAGTCCCAGCTAATACATCCAAGATTACTGGCTGCTTACAGTGGCCTTCTCAAGAAAACAGACTCTGATACAACAAACAAATAGTAAAATGAGTAGTGAAAGTTGAAGTTGTCAAAGCAATGCTTTTGTAAACCATTCATTTTACCAGAATGACTCTATGACAGACAGAACATAACGCATGCCACCCAGGCGCCCTGCCCTCAGAGGCCTCCTGGGGCCCCTGCTGCTGCGGTTGGGTTCTTACTTCATCGTCTGCTTTTATAGACTTCAGTGTCATCAGGAGCTGGAATCGGAGCAAGTTGTTTGTTCCAAAGGCCTGCAATTCTAGCAGCTTGCACAGGGCAACCAGCTGGGGCCGATCTAACTGTTCCAGTGCTAGCTGGTCCTTGAAGAGTTTGGAGAAGCCAACTATCTCCTTAGTGCTGGGCTTGTGGCCTGTTTGGAGCTGCGCAATGGGACAGAGGCTAATTACAATGCGCTTCTTACCTAACAAAACCTCCTAACAGACTATTTGAAGGAGATGTCAAGACTCTCTGTGTTGCACAGAAGTAGATCCAGTGGTTCACTGAGAATAAAGAAATGCCTAGTTGTGGAGTGTAGCTTAGTGGGAGGCTGGGTACTTGCCTTACATGCATGATGGGTTCAACAGCGGATCCAATAACTACACCCCCATCTTTCTAGAGTCAAGCTTAGTCACTAGGAAAATTAGGAGTATTTCAGCTTGTACTCATCTTTCTTTCTTTTTTTTTTTTTCTTTCAAACTACTCTAAATGTTTAAGCATTGTATATTTATAATTTAGATATGTGGCATTTCAAAGATTCTGAACAATCTGGATGATCTATGATGAACCTCCAGCCCAGAAGTCACTGGCCTGGGATGAGCCCCCGACACCTGTTTTACATAGGAAGAAAGCTTTGAAGAGGCATCTCCCAGCTTGGCTCGGTTTCTCTTTGCCATTTCTTTCATTGTTTCTTGAAGGAATTTTGCTATTTCCAGTTTGGCGGCCATCTTCTTCTTCTGTTTTTCTTCCTTAACAGAAGAGGAAAAAGGTTAATCGTAACTGTGCGTTGGTAATGAGAAAAAGTAACTCCCACATTGCTTTTGTGCATTCCCGTAACGCATCCTGCATTAACACTATTAGCAGACGGGCCTGATTAAGTAAGTTTGTAAGAACCAGAACACTTTAAAGGAGCTTCTCTTTAACTTGTCTCCTTAATCTTGCATTTTTCTCTCTCATTAATACCATGATGATAAGCTTCAAGGAGAGGCTCTGTTATTAAGTGCCGTTACGACCTCCCAACCTCATTTAGGCTTGCTACATAAGCCAAACTCTAGTACACAGCCCCAGATTTTGCTCTACAAAACATACTCAGAAACTAATTCTACGCTAATCAAACTTGCAGAAAATGTATAATATTGTGTGTTACGTTCAATAAGAGATTTGGAAAAAAGCACTATACAGAAGAGAATTAAATACATTGTTTGTTTTGAGAGAGGGTCTCTCTATAGATCCCTGGCTGTCCTAGAACCTGCTATCTAGTCCAAGATGACCTGAAACTATAGTCCACCTGTCCCTGCCTCCTGAGTCCCTGCCTGCCTGATTTAATGTACATTCCTAAGAGAGTAGTTGACCAGTAGTTGCTGATTCTTGTTCATCATCAGAAATGCGGTGGTAGAATTTTGCAATGATCATGGTCAAAATGCTGGGCACAGGATAGAGAGAAGCAGATATCCCCCCCCTCCAGCCCCATCTTCTTGTATTCAAGAACACTTTCATTGGAATGCTGTGGGTTGTTTCTAGATCCTGATTATTTTAAATGTGAGGAAATTAAGGCCTGCACTTCTAGCAGCTTGCAAAGGGTATCCAACTAGAGTTTAAGTAAATTAAACCATCTTCAGGCAGTTAAATATTATAATTTGATTTTCTGCTTTAACCTCAAATTAAGGTCTATGGGGATAGCTCAGTGGTAGAGCACTTGCGAAACATGCCCAAGGCCCTGGATTCTATTCCTAACATCACTAAAAGAAAAAAAAGGAGGAGCCAGGTGTGGTGCACACCTTTAATCTGTGAATTCAAGACCAGCCTGGTCTACATAAGGAGTTCCAGGACAGCCAGGGCTGCATAGAGAGAGAGCCTGTCTCAAAGAAAACAAAAGGTAAGCACAAAATAGAAAAGAAAAAAAAGGAACTTTATCTCAGCTCTGCCTTCAGTTGCTTATTCTTATTGTTGACTTCATGATTGATTTAGGCTCTGTTTACTTCCTTCTTTTGGCTCTGTCCCTTTCAGTCCTTCTGCCAGCAAAATTATGTTCCTAAAATACAGATCTAATCACCCACTACTGCTTAAGTTTTAGCTTATTATTCACATCGCCAGAGGTGAAGTTCAAATTCCTTAGAGAGGGTGAGGCTCTCCCACCTGACATCTTTTGCCTGTTTCAGGTGGCTGGTTCCCTGACCAGACAGACTTCTGCCAGACCTACAGACGGTGGTAACATTTCACCCACTCACTGGGCCTTAGCTCCAAAACTCCTTCATGAAATATTTTCTTTCTTGTGTTTTAGACAGCATTGTCCGGTACACTGACTGAAAGACTTCATTGTCCCTCAGACGCCTTTATGACATTGTTTAGTAGAAACACAGAGCAGCAAGAGTAGGAGAGCTTCTTTTCTAGGTTAACCCCTTTGTGGTCACTAAGGTACCTTCCCTTGCTCTCATGGCACTGAAGATCTGTTTGGCTGAATAAATCATAGCTAGTGCTCATTAACCAAAGTAACAGTAGATGTTTGTTTCCATTATTATTAGCTTTTATTTATTTGGTTTTACAAGACAAGGTTTCTTTGTGTAGTCTTGGCTATTCTGAACTCCATTTGTAGAGCAGTCTGGCTTGGAACTCACAACAATCCACCTGCCTCTGGCTCCCTGAGTGCTGGGATTAAAGGCATGTACCACTATGCCCACTCATTGTTATAATTATTTTAAATAAACCTTTTAAAGTATTTTTAGTTTATGTGTATGGGCATTTAACCTGCATATATGTCTGTTCAAATGGACCAGAGGGCATGAAATATCTTGGAGCTGAAGTTAAGCATGGTTGAACCACCATAAGGGTGCTAGGAACCTGGGTCCTCAGCAAGCTCTTAAAACTCTGAGCCAAATCTTCAGCTCTTTCTTTGTTGTTTTTTATTTTGGAATTTACTATGTAGACTAGGTTGACCTTGGACTCAGAGCTCCTTTCTACCTTCCTTTCTTCCTTTTCTCACTCCCTCTCTTTTTTCAGCAGTTAAAATAACTGTAGAGAGGCTGAGCATAATTGCACACATCTTTGATCTCAGCACATGGGAGGCAGAGGCAGGCAGACCTATGTGAATTACCAGACAGGCTAGTCTACATAGTGAGACCCTATTTCAAAAACACCAAGACAGAACAAATACATAACAAAATATAGTAGAGATAGGACATTTAATAAACAATAATGGGAAAACTAGATATTTACATAATAAAAAATCCTGACATAATAAAAAATTATTACAAATTTTCATTAAAACAAAGTAGGTTATATTTCTGAAGACAAAATGCAAAGCATTTTAAAACTACAAAAAAAAAATGGTAGAAACATTTAACTTGCAGCAGATGAAATGTCTCAGGAGTTAAGGGCACTGACTTCCAGAGGACCCAGGTTCAGTTCCTGACACCTCCATCACCTGCTGTAATACCTTCTGGTCCCCTCAGGCACCAGGTATGCATGCAGTACACAGATATACATGCACATCAAACACCTTCACCCATAAAACAGAAGTGACCTTGAGTTTGTTAATCAGTTTTCAGCTGTAACGCTAAAGACTTGGTCATTTTAAGTGTTTGTCCTATGAAATGATGAACCACAGGTATGGGATGTGGCTTAATCATTTGCCCATTACAGGCAAAGACTTGGGATTTATTCATAGAAATGAAAAGAAACACAGAAGAAAAAAAAAATCTAGCTCCATTCCCAGGAATTGGAGGTTGGGAGAAAGGACACAGACTTAGGAGAAAATATTTATAAAGTATATATTTGATAAAGGACTTGTATACAAACACAGAAAAAACTCAAAGCAGCCAGGCAGTGGTGTAGACCTTTAATCCCAGCACTTGGGAAGCAGAGGCAGGAGGATCTCTGTAGGATCCGGGACAGTCTAGTCTACAGACTGATTTCCAGGACAGCCAGGGCTACACAGAGAAACCCTGTCTCAAAACAAACAAACAAACAAACAAACAAAATGTAAAACAAGTAACCAAACACACAATTATAAAGTGGGCACAAAGGGGCCATGGAGATAGAGCAGTGGGTAAGGTTCCTGCTCATACAGGCACAGGGACCAGAGTCCTTCTCTGTGGGACATAGGAGCAAAATGGCTAGCTACCCTAGCCAAATCAGCAAGTTGTGGGCTTAAGGGAGAGACCCTGACTCAATATACAAGGCGGAGAGCTGATAGATATAAATCATAGCCCTATATAAGGTGTACACACTTGGGTACACACACAGGTACACCACACACATATTTTCACACACATACACACACACACACACCACCAACGGGGGTTAAAATAAATGTGCACCTCCACAAAGAAGTTATGGAGCTGACAAAGAACCTAACCACTGCACACCAATGAGAATCGTTAATACCCAATGTGTATTATAACATGCTGGGGATGTCAAGGAACAGCATTCATAGGTGGAATGCAAAATGCATGGCTGCTCTGAAAGACAGTTTAGCAAATTCTTACAATGTCAGATATAGTCTGTGTGTAATCACTCTTGCTCAGTAAAAAAAAAAAACAAAAAACCCTGAACACAAATATTAATAGCATTTTTATTTATAACTGCCCAAATTAGAAGCAACCAATTTCCAAAAGGTGAAAGGATAAAAACAAACAAACAAAAACCAAACACTTGGAGTGTATCTTCTCAAGGAAGAACTTCAGTATTCATTTTTTTTAATGCAATGAATCCCGAAAGTGAGCTACACGCGGTTGTGAACTGCCACGTGGGTGCTAGGAACGGAAACAGGTTCCTCTGCCAAGAGCAGTAAGTGCTCTTACCCACTGAGCCATCTCTCTAGTCCCTCATGGCAGAACTGTAAATGCATCCTGCTACATGGAAGAATGCAGTCTGGAAAGTGTACGGTTCCAATTTCACGAGATTCGGAAAAGGCAGAGCTACAGAGCCAAACACCTACAGCTGCCGCACTGAGAGGAGAAACAGCAGACACGCACAGGTGGAGGGCATGTCAGTTTCAGAACAGCGGGAGTATTCCGTGTGGCACTGGGCGCCAGAACTGCACGCCACAGAGAGCGAGCCCTAATGTCACTTACGTTCATAACAGCGTGCCAAATATTAACGTGCACCACACTGAAGCAAGCTGTCACTAACAAGGGGACCCGGGAGAGATGGGATATGGGTGGTGAATCCCAACTTTGGACTTTTTGCCCAGTCTTCCTATGAACCTAACAAACTGTTCTAAAACCAAAGTCTGTTTATTTATTTTTTTTAAGTTTTAAAATCCTGTATACCTTTTTCAATTCACTTTCAAAAGTTGATGGCAACATGTCTGGGAAGAACTTCAGGAACACTGGTATCAAGAATTCCATAAAAGGTACAATTATGAACACCATAAATGGGACCAAGCGGAAGACATCAGCACAAGTTCTCAACAGCTGAAGAGACAAACACACAAGCAACGTTACATATGCAGGACATGCCCAGACTGATCCAACAAGAACCACCACCAAAACACAGTGTGTGAAAACAAAGGTTTTCCACAGCTGGAAAGCTGGAGTTTTCTCTTCAGTGTAGCTCTAAATGTCGTATCTATGGGTTATCCTCAAAGAAACCTATGACAATCAATATGCATTAATGTATTTGTTACGGGTCCATATTTTGATAACACAGCATTAGTTAAAATTAAATTTTTCCTTTTTGAGATTAGGGGTATTTACTATATTGCCCAGGGTGAACTTAAACTTTTGAGCTCGAACTGATGATCCTCCTGCCTCAGCATTCCTAGTACCTATGATTAACAGTACGTTCCAGATTAATAGTTTAATTAATCTAGAATTAAACTATTAATTAATAGTTAATTAAACAGGGGCCTGGTGGCATATGTCTATAATCCCAGCACTCGGTGGGGGGGAAGGGGGGAGGCAGCGGCAGGTGGATTGCTGTGAGTTCAAGGCCAGTCTCATCTACAAAGCCAGGACACCAGGACAGTCAAGGCTACACACAGAAACCCTGTCTCAAAAACAAAAACAAACAAACAAAACCAAACTAACCCAAAACAACAAAAAACCCAGTATGTTCTATTGTACTGTTTTAAAAATGTACATTTTTATATTTATTTAATATATTAAATATATATGGGGGGTTGAGTCAGATTTCTCTGTGTAGCCTTGACTATCCTGAAACTCACTCTGTAGACCTGGGTTTGAACTTGGAGATCTTACTGCCTCTGTCTCCTGAGTACTAGGATTAAATGTTGTGCCACCACTGCCCAGCTAGAGCCCTTGCTTAGATGCTCAAGGCCCTGGGTCTTACTCAACATGGCATGAAGCTTTGGTTTCCAATCAGTAGTTATAATTTCTACTTTAGGAGGGTGGGAAGCCTCTGCATCAAACTCAGCATGCTAAGAAAGTTACTTAAAATTTTTTAAAAATGATTTTATTACTTATTTGTGTGTCTGTGAATATGCCCAAGAAAATGAGAAAGGTGTTAGTTTTCTGAAGGTGGACTCCCAGACAGTTGTGAGCTGCCAGACTGGGTGCTGGGAACTGAACTCAGGTCCTTTGCAAGAACAGTGCTCTTCACCACTGAGCCATTTCTCCAGCCCCAGTTAAGGATTTTTAAGATGAAGTTTTAGTTCATTTCCCATTTCCACTAAGATTCTTGCCTACCCGTCGCCTCTCTCTTCTGCTTAGCACCTGTCCATGCAGCAGCCTCCAAACTATTCTGGCAGCAACTTTGGTGTCAATCCAAAGTAAATAGAATCCTTTGTAATAGTATTTAAGTTCATCCATGATTTTTTGTCTCAATGACCGCTTTTCTTCTGTAATCTCTGTCTCTGCTTCTTTGGTAGGCTCAGAGCTTGTCACTTTTGGCTTTTCTGGGGTTTTCTCCAGCTGAGGTTGTAGCCAGCGGGTTGATGTGTGCAGTTTTTGTGTTAGTCTAGTTCGTAAAGGGTGGACTTTGTTGCCTGGCAGACTGGGATAAGAGTATTTCCTGCTTCCATAGTTTTTCATACAGGTTGTACGTAAATGAGAATCTGGCAAGTGGAGAAATGCAAGTGATGGGGAATGAGAGCAGGAAGGATAGACAAAATGGGTAGGCAATCTGGAAAAAAGGATAACATTCTTTCAGTGGGATTTATTATTACAAACAACAACAAAAAAGATCTTTTATCTGGTTAAAACAATAAGCCTATAAGCAACTGATACTTATTAGTGGATGAGATCCATCTGTACGTGTGTGTACGTGCATACTTGTGTTTTGCTTCGGGTCAACCTTACACATCCCAAGAATGTGCTCTACTTCTGAGATACAAGCCCCCCCACCCCAGCCCCCACACCTGCTCTAGCCAGAAATACAATTTTTTTCTTTCTTAAACTGACATTGAGACAGGGTTTCTCTGTGTAGCCCTGGCTGTCCTGGAACTCCCACTGTAGATGAAGCTAACCTGGAATTCAGGGATCCGCCTGCCTCTGCCTCCCTGATGAAGATTAAAGGAGTGGACCACTGAGAAGACATTGCTGGGAACTGAAGCTAAAAGTAGTTCACACATGCTAGGCAAGTGTGGACCACTGACCTGGATCTATACACAAACACTTCACTTTTTAAATAGCTGAACTGTGTTCAATCATTGAACATATTCTTGTGAAAAATATTAATAAGCTAATTCTGAAGAGTAATTTGCTACAGCAAGTTAGACGTTCTGCTACTATTAATTTAAACATCTAGGGGCCAGTGAGATAGTTCAAAGGTAGTTCAAAGATAGTTCAAAGGCACTTGCTGTCAAACCCTGGTTAAGTCCTTGGGATCCTGAGGGTGGAAGAATAGATATAACCGACTCCTACAAGTTGTCCAAAAGGGTGCCAGGGGACATGCCCTTTTCAGCAATTAAATAACAAAAAACTTAAAGCATCTTATTAGAAAAAAAAAAAATCTACTTGAAAACATTTCTTTCAGGACTGATGTCTAATAGTATTGTCTCTATCTACTCTCATAAAGAAAATGAAAAAGATCTGACTACTCTAACAAAGAGTGTTTGAGTGAAACAACTTCATGTCTCTGTGAGGATTAATTAATCATGTAATACTGCATCATCCATGTGTCTACCGACTCCCACAAAGTGATGCAAAATAATTCCCCTAAAATTCCTCAAGAGCACTTAAAAATAAGAACTAGAATTAAGCACCCTAACCAATGTTTTTTTTTTAAAAGATTTATTATTATATATATTTTTATATATACAATGTTCTGTCTGCGTGTACACCTGCATGCCAGAAGAGGGCATCAGATCTCATTACAGATGGTTGTGGGCCACCATGTGGTTGCTGGGAATTGAACTCAGGACCTCTGGAAGAGCAGCCAGTGCTCTTAACCTCTGAGACATCTCTCCAGCCCCAACCAACCAATGGTTTTTATACTCTAATATTGTTAAACTAGAACAGATCTTAATAGGTAGCAACAGGCAGCCAGTCAGTCAGAACTCAGTAGGCAGAAGCAGGTGGATCTCTGTGAGTTGGAGGCCACCCTTTGTTCCGGGACAAAGTTACCAAATGAGACCCTGTCCCAGGAACAACAACACCTCCACTCCCCTCCCCACAAAAAAACAAAACAAAACAAAACAGGAAAGAATGCTATTGACAAGGAGTCGGTTGGTTTTTGTTCTTGGCTAAAAGATAGCTTTTCCCCATTTTTTAATACAATTTTTGAAACATATCAGTGTATATATATGCATATATATTCTTTAAATCTCCAAAAGGGAAAATGCAGAATGAATGTGCAAGTGGTGAGTTTTCAGTCATATTCTTCTGAATACGTAAGTGACACGACAAGAGGAGTTAGGCAGAAACATGTCCTGAGCTGAGCTCGTTCATGAGCCAGTCACCTCCTTTTTACGTCTGAGGTCCTCATGTAATATTCATCAACAACAGAAATGCCACCCTAAAACTGCTTCATCTATTTTTCCTTTATCACAATCTACAAAAATTACTCAGCTTGCACTCTAAAGCAGTTTAATTTTAAATGTGCTCTTCCTAAGAATGTATTTAAAATTCAGCAAGGTTTTGTGTACGACGCCAGTTCTTTTGTTGGTTTCTTTTTTTTTTTTTTTTTCCTTTGTCTTTTTTTTGAGTCAGGGTCTCAGTATGTACCCCTAGCTGGCCTTGAACTCAAGAGAGCAGCCTGCCTCTCCCTCCTGAGAACCGGGACTAAAAGCATGCAGCACCACATCTGGCCAAAAGCCAATTCTTTCACAACACATATTTTCCAGATAGATGCATGAGTTCATATACATACTTGTGGGAAATTCCAAGCCTTACCTTGTCCAGAAAATAGCTAAGAATGAATTATAACTGTAGAAGGCCATATTTATTTTTTGTTTCATCTAACCAAGACAGAAACCTGGGCAAAAGAAGTAAACAATTTAGTATTTTTAAAAGGCATCGATTAAATACCAGAATTTGGGTGTTTCTTAACTAATGAAAGGGCAAAAATTTGCATATTCAAGGTGTAAAATTTCCTTCTAGTTCATTTTCAACAGCCACAATATTTTCTTAGCTCTGGATTTGATCCCAACGCACAGAAATGATTTCTAATGATCGAGAGGATGATATGGCCTCCAAAGGCTTTTTTATTTCTGGTCAATAGTGTCTGGGAATCTGCTACGACAGTTAAGAGGAGAAAGACATCTTTATCTGTAACCAGAAAATACACGTAGAAAGCACACATATTGGATTCATTTACCACCGACCGAAAAGCCTAAAAGTGTTCACTAATTTCATGTGTGAACAGCGAAGCCATAATAGTAGAACCTAGCAAGGGCTCAAAAGCAGATGAAAACGGATGCCATCCTAGTGTGACTGGCTCTTCAGAGCCCGAAATAAGCTGTCCCTTTAATTAAAACCGTTCTCCAGCCCGAGCCTTCTCCAGCTACTAGCAGCGACTCTGCTCCCTCGCAATCGCGCCGAAAGGAGGTCCCTCCTAACTTCCCCCGTCCCATGGAAACCTCCACCACAAAGCTGACGTCGCCAACCGGGCGCAGCACCTCGGAAACCGGCCCCGCCGCGGACGCCGCTCCTCCGCAGGGGCCCGGGCCTGTCGCGTAGGCTCCCCAGCCTCGGGCCCCGGCTACCGGCCACTCCCAGGCAGGCGGGCCGGCGTTCTGGGGGACCCCACGCCCAGCGCTGCGGGGTTACCGCTGCATCCCGCGCTCGCTGCACCGGTGCAAAAGGCGCCCTCGGCCGGCGGCCTCAGCGGTACATGGGGAGGACTGCGGTGGGTCTGGGGGTTGCTGGGGTGGGGTTAGGTACACCGTAGGGACGGACGTCGGCAGGGGTCAGAGTTCAGGGGTCAGGTCGGGGAGGGGGCGACGGGGGACGCCCGAGGCAGCGGGAGCCGGCTGCAGGACGACTGGAACCCCCAACCCTACCTTCCCAATTCCTCCCCGACCCCGGGCTGGAGGGGCCGGAAGCTCAGTCTCTATGGTCCCACCTCCTGCGCCCCGCCTTGTGACGTCACTCCGAGTGACGCCACCGCCACCCAATGAGCGCTCAAGTTCTGGGAAGGGCTCCCGTCCTTCACGGCAGCCTCGCGGAAGGCGGCGAGCGCCCCGCACGAGCCCGGGCAGCCGCTGCTGGGTTGGAGGTGGTTTGGGGGCTCTGTACTGTGAAGCCAGAGCTGCGCCTCCCGCGTCTGCCCACGTCCTGTGGACTGTGGCCAACTCTCTGAGAACTCCTTGAAGGAGAGCTCTACCGGACTAACGTGAGAGTCGCCGTGGTAACCCGGCTCGGGGTCACCCTTCAGTCTCCGAAACCGTCTAGAGGTCTCTGGTTGGCGGAGGAGATCGTGGGGTCCTGGTGGCAGAAGGGGCAGCACGGAGAAGGAAACCTTTCTTTCACCGGGCCGAAGGCTGGAATGCTGCTGAAATCTTCATACGGAATTGGAATTTTACTAAAGAAATTGGTTTCATAATGTTATCGCTTATCATTAGTTTCTGTATAAATTTCAACATTTAAAATATATCCTACAGTACTTAAGATAGGCATTGCGGGTTTGAGGAGACTTTTTAGTTCCTAGGGTGGGCAGCTATGCCATCTTTGGAAAGTGAAACTTCTGAGCGCATTCTTGTCCCCACTTTTTTTTTTTCTCAACTTCTATTTATTTTTTGAGAATCTTACGTAGCACAGGCTGGTCTGGAACTCAATAGGTCGCAGAAAGTGTTCTTGAACCCCTGAGCCTCCCGCCCTCCTTCCCAGCGCTTGCTTTGCAAGTGTGCACTACTACAGAAGTCAACCTTGGCTCTTCGTTTTTTTGAGACAGTGTTTCACTATGTAGGCCTGGCTGGCCTGGAGCTTAGCATGTACATCAGGCTCGCCTTGAACTCACAGAGATCTGCTTGCCTGGGCCTCTCGACTGCTTGAATTACGTGTACCACCATACCCGGCTCAAGCTTTCTTCTTTTCTCTCTCTGGGAACTGTGATGATAAAATTATGAGCTGTACAAAATAGAATAATTTTTGAGGGCCGGGCATGGTAGCACTTGCCTTTTATCTTAGTACTTGAGAGGCAGACAGGCGGATCTCTGACTTCAAGGTCAGCCTGGTCTACAAAGTGAGTTTAAAGACATCCAGGGCTACACAGGATCCTGTTTCAAAAGAACCAAAAAAGAAAAGAGAAATGCAGGCCTCTTTTAATCCCCCAAAGTATATTTCAACTAAACTAAACGAACTGCTTAAAATAAGCAAAACTTTTCAGTTTGGCCACTAGGGGTCCCTTTGTGCATGTCCGACAATTTTCCACATAGGGGTTTCCTTTCACAGTCGCTCTTTAAGAAGAATTAAGATATTACAAAACATAACCCACTCCTTCTATGCCTTGAGACAGGATCTCATTATGTTGCCCTGGCTAGCCAGGAACTCACTATGTAAACCATGCTAGCCTCGAACTCACTGAGCTTCTCCTGCCCCTTCTTTAAAGAAGTGTGCCACCGTGCCAGGCTAAAGCTTTCCGCTCATTTTTTTCCCCTGAAAATTCTGATGACTAAATTATGAGTTCTACAATAATTATTTTAACATTGATTGCATGCAGAAACCTTCTCATTTCACAGTGAGGTATTTTATACTGGAAAAATTCTTATCCGTGTATTATATTCACATACAAATAGGCACAGTAAAATTTATTAAATCTTAATAATCCAGATGAACTATCCCACACCCAATATTTAAAACATAAAGTAGATTTTCTAGTATGGTCACAAGTTAGCAATCTAATTCTTAAAAAAAAAAAAAAATGGATGTTAAGAACCCTTCTTATGTGCCGGCTGTGGTGGCTTATGCCTTTAATCCCAGCACTCAGGAAAGAGAGGCAGGCAGAGCTCTGTGAGTTCCAGGACAGCCCTGGCTACTTATGAAACCCATTTGTTTCAAGCAATGTATACTTTTTCCAGTTTTGCATATTTTATCTATAGAATTTGACAATTTGGTGTTCAGGATATCTCTATCTCTATCTATATATCTATATTAATTTTTCCCAGAAGAGAAGCCCCCCCAAATTTTACCACCATCATTTGGAGATCTGTTCTGTTCCTGTCTTGATAAGCTGTTTGTTCACTTACTACTGAAAAGAGTAAGCCTGTGATGAACCTCAGAATATGTTAGATGCTGATAACATAAAGCATTATGTGTGCCTATTTCCCAAAATAAAATCTCTAAGGACGTAAATGGAAAATCCAAATGCCTGATCAAAAAAGCAAGAGCAATATTAGGAGGTGGAGAGTGGAAAGGACTGGGGCAGGAGCTTGCCAGGTTCCAGTCACACCTTTGTTTACCTTTTTTATGTTATAGATTTGCCTATTTATGATGCAATCTTGGCTTCTTTAAATTGTAGTGACCACAAAGGATAGGCTTAAATAGTGAAGAGCCTGGTCCAGCAGTCCTTGTCTGTAATCTCAGCTACTGGGTATGTTGAAGGAGGAGGATTGCTAGAATCCAGTTGTAGCCTGGGCAACATAGCAAGCCCCATCTCAAAACAAATGAGTAAAATGAAATAGAAAATAGTTACAGATTAGCTAGGAGTGGTAGTTTATGCTTATAATCCCAGTACTCCGGAGGCCGAGGATGAAAGATTGTCTTGAGTTCAAGGCCACCCTGAGTTAAACAAGACTTTACAGATGAACAGTAAAGTGGGCTAAGGAGCTGGCTAGGCTAAAAAGGTCCTTGCAGTGGCACCGATGACCTGGAGTCCAAGCCCTGTAAAGTGTCTGGAACCAGCTCCCAAAAGTGGTCCTCTGATTTTTGTTTGTTTGTTTTTATTTTTCTAGATAAGGTCTTTCTGTGTATCAGAGCCCTGACTGTCCTGGAACAGGCTGGCCTCCAACTTAGAGATCAGCCTGCCTCTGCCTCAGGTGCTGGGATTAAAGACATGCACCACTGTGCCGGGCTAGTCCTTTGATATTAACAAACACAAAATAACACAAAAAATATGAAAGTACTGGCCCCCTGAACGGTGGCACACACCTTAATTACAGCACTTGGGAGGCAGAGGCAGGAAGTATGTGAATTTGAGGGTCAATCTGGTCTTTATAGAATTCCAGGCTAGCCAAGTATCCTGTCTCAAAAATCTTGTCTCAAAAATCTAAGAAAAAATATCAATGGAATATTTTCAATACTACCCTTGGTGTTAATAGTTATGTTAATAACACATTTAGTGCCCATTAAAATCACTGAACTGTAGAGATTTTAAAAAAACTCTTAGGTGGTGGGCTGGAGAGATGGCTCACTGCTTAAGAGCACTGGTTCTTGCAGAGAACAAGTTCCAGCAGACCTGACACCTCTTCTTACCTCCCTGGTGTCCCAGAATGCAGAAGGGGCACATATGCACTCGAGCAACATATTAATAAACATAAAATTATAAAATCTTTTAAAAAATTGAGGCGGCATTTGAATAGAAAACACACCAGGAATTCCTAATAATAGCAAATAGCTCAAGCACTGTAGTCTCCATGGCTAGCACGACACTTTGCAGTGACAGGGTTCTGTAATTCTCAGAACAGAAAGGAAGAGTGTGTGTCGGTTTCCTCATCTGATCGTTACGCACGTCTCCTTTGTAAGTTATTGTTTCTGAACGTTTTAAGTCGTTTCCAGCAGGCCCCAGGAAACTACATCTGCACGCCCCTTCAAGACTGTTTCCCGGGTCCTGTCATTGTTTTACTCGTATTTCCTAGAATGGGTGGGTGGGGGGTGGGGGGCTGCGGAGCACTGCCTCCTTCCTCTCGCTCTCGGGTGATCGCTCTGGGACAACTACCCCCACGTCACTCGGTGCGGAGGTCTGGCCCGGAGCAGCGCCGGGCCCCGGCACGTGACCCGCCCGCAGTCCTCGCTGTGGCCCGCGGCCCGGGATGCAGTCGCGCTGACGTCCTCCTGGTTACCCACAAGCCTCTGTGCCTCGGTGCGGGCAGGAAGAGGGCAGCCGGGTCCAGTGCCTGCCCGGGAGGTCGGGGTGCCTTCCGAGCCGGACGCGGACGCTGCCTGGCACCCCCCGTGCTTGCAAACTGGCAGCCTCCCGTCTCTCACCGCGGCAGAAAGGGAGACTGGCCCGGCTCAGGCTCTCGTCCTAAAAGTGCTGCCCCGCGTCGGGACGCGGGGGGCCAGGGCGCTGTGCTGACAGCTGTCAGGCTGTCGGCGCCTCGCGAGCCTCGGCCCTCCCCGGCCTGCGTAATCGCGTACGGGGCAATCTTCCCGACACCTAGGAATCGTAGAGCAGGGCCACTCGAGTACCATATGGCGTCTAGTACGCGCTGCCGCTTAGTAAGTATTAGCCTCGCAGGCCCGACCTGGCCGCCCCTCCGCACCAGCCCTTCCTGTCCCTCTGCCTCATCGCCTGCGGTCTCGCGTCGGCTCCAGACTCTCGCGCGCCCCTCCTCTCCGCGGCCGACGAGCCTCTTCCTCCTTCGCTCTCGGCGCCCGGCCCCGGACTGCATTTCCCGGCAGGCGCCGCGGCCCGTGGCCAATGGGGAGCCTAGGATTTGGCGGCGGCGGCGCCGAACGGGGCGGGGGGGCTTTGTGCGCGGAGGCGGCGGCGGCGGCGGCGGCAGCGGCGGCAGCGGCAGCGGCGGCGGGAGCTGGCGGCGCGGAGGTCCGGACGGAGGCCGAGGCCAGGGCTGCGTGCTGGGCGCCTGGGAGAGGTGTGCAGCTTCCGATTGGAGTCCCGGGACCCCGCTGCCTTTCGGGGCCGCCAGCCTCCGACTCGTCTCCGGCACCAGCAGCTACGCGGCGACCCCCGTCCGGCCGCCTCCCCTGCGCTCCGCGTCGCCCGCAGCCTTCCGTCTGCCCGCAGACGAGCCCGGCCGGCCGGGCCGTGGCCCTCCTCAGTGCCGGCCGCCATGGCAGGGGTGCTCGGCGCGGGGGAAATCTAGTCCGAGGATTTCATGCGGCCTAGCTCGGTTCCCTCTCCTGCGCCCGCCGTCCCGGCAGCTGCCGTCAACCCAGCCCCACTTCGGGCCTCCGTGTCTCTCCTGTGATCCTACTGACACGGCCGGGGGGTTAGAATGGAACAAACTGAAGGTAAAGTGCTTGTGTGTGTATGTGTGTGTGTGTTGCGCGTCAGGGTTGAGGAGGATCCTTGGGTGGGGGGCGACTTGAGACCTAGCACCCGAAAGGAGTGAGACCCTGGAAGGGGAGGGGCCGCGGATGACCTGAAGGGGTTGGAGGAAGGAAGAGCAGATGGTAAGGTGGGTGTGGAAGGAATTGGGAGGTGGGGCAGGTAGGCTTGGGATATGATGTAGTGGTGCTGAGCTGGGAATTGGGAGTAGAGGTGGGATGGGGGCGGGGATAAGGATGGAAACGGGGAAGGGGGAGGGAGAGAGAAGAGTTAGATTTGAACATTAGCGACCTGATGCAAATTAGTGTAGGTCTGGAATGGACTGTGGAAACTAGGAGAGTTGGGGGAAAGAGATAGGGTTGATGGGAAAGGGAGGTATCTTCTGGGAATCAAGGGAGAAACTAGTGAATCAAAGTGGAGGAAAAGGTAAGATCAGGAAATAGGGATGAAAAATGATTGTGTCAGGGTGCACTAGGAGGATAGGAAATAGACGCAGGAAACTGAAAGACGTACGATTGGGCTAGGAAAGGACATTAGCTGAGTGTTGGAAGGGATGAGAATTATCGACCAGGCTACACAGAGTGTGAGGAAAAGGATGGGAATTATTGAAGTGTTAGAAGGGAAAGCCTTTTGTTCCTATATTTGTGTGTATTCTGCCTTGTATTTCAAGGCTAGAAATAGAGAAGCTAGTGGTTATGGGGTTGTGATTGTTGTGAAACGAGGGAGGTGTGGGTGTTACTGTTCTGAGAGAAGAGATGTGTTTTTGTTATGGTAGGGAGGCAGGGAGAGACATGGCCATAATTTGATGGTTTTGGTGAGGGAGTGAAGACTATTCAGATTTAAAGGGGGCAGGGGCAGCCATGTTTGCTACCAGGCACTGCAGTGTAAATAAATTCCTTTTCCTCTCCGACATCTGCGTGAATCTGGAAGCGACCAGTTCACACTGTTACACCTCCCCTTCTATTCATGAACTTCTCTTACCTCTTGGGTCATTTACAATTACTCATAGCCACCAAAGGACATAGGGATGTTTTCCATCTTGTGTGTTCTGTTGCTTCTTTCTTGTTCCTTTTCCTCCTGGTAGCAAAAGAAGGCATACTGATAAATTGCACTGTAAAATTTAACCCTTTTTATAAATTTAAAATTAGATCTGTTTTTTTAAACTAACTGAAGAAGTCATTGCTATCGTATTTCAAGCATGATTGTGAAAAGTCTTAAATGTTGATTGGTTTCAGACACCTCAGAAGCAAGTCAACATCTTTTTTTCCAATTCTTTAAGTAAACAAGGAAATTGCATTGGTTATTTTACTTGGAAGGGGGTGGGGAAGATCAGCCTGTTGTAGATTATCTGCTAGCTGAATTTAGAATTTTGGAAAATTAGAAATGTTCATGGTGATAGGTGACATGCATCTGTTATAAATACTGCTTTTTTTACTAGCTTTTCCCCCACCTCTTCCCTTTGCTTTCATGTAGCTAGCTCAATACAATCTCCAAATGCCAGGTTAGCACAGCACTGTGATCTGTGCAGTAGGCATGTAATCCTTATTTGCCAGCGTTTGGGGCGGGGGGTGGATGAGAAGTTCTGTCACTCTCAGGAACGCTCCAGTAATTCTTTCATGTATTCAGATATATCTACTTGTATGATCTGAATAGTTTCCAAGGGTCTAACAAAGAAGATAAATTAGGTGAAATCTATTTTCTATTAATCTTGAAAAGGATTCCGTATGTGTCTTACTTAAAATAACTTTAACTGTGGTAATCCAAACTTTAGCCCATGTGTTAGTATTGAAACTGTTTTCTAGTAGCAGCAAGTTCTGTTAACTATATGATGGGCTCAATCCATTTGTCCTACATATTGATTCAACAAATCTTAATAATAATATTCTCTCAGTTTTTATTGTTTGGTAGAAAATTTACATTTAATATTGTTGGAGTGGTGCTTTCCAAGGTTAGACTTGGCATAAATGTCAGATTTATAACTTGGGGTGTTTTGAGTGACAGTATATACTCTGATTATTTTTTTAATTCCAAAGACAAGTTCCATTCAAAAAAGCCATTCAGCATGTACTCGGAATTTATTTGTTTTGACGGAGGTATTTTATTTGTATTTCTCTCTTGGTTGACATATTATTTGTAATTAGTAAACTTGACGTGCATGAACTATTAGTGCCTCCACTTTTAGGAAAATGAGCAATTATATATTACAATAGAATACATCTGTTTGGAAGTTTGAATGAGCCCTCTTAGAGTGTTCTGTTCTGGGTTCCTTGGACAGGTATCCATTCAGTGAAGAAGGCTACTGTTTTTATCAAACACCTGAAATCCAAATCTGCGTTGATTACTACTGTGCTCATCATCAGCCCACTTGGTACTTAAAAATTTTTTTAATTATTTTGTTTTTTGTGTATGAGTGTTTTTATCTGTATGTATGTATGTATGTATGTTTGTGAACCACATGCAGGCCTGGTGTGCACAGAGGCCAGAAGAGGGTATCAGGTGCATTGGAATTGAAATTATAGATAGTTGTAAGCTGCCATATGGGTTCTGGGAATTGAACCAGAGTTCTCTGGAAGAGCAGTCAGTCAGTGCTTTTAACCACTGAGCTGTCTCTCTGACCCTGATGCCTTTTATTTATTTACTTATTGAGACAGAGTCTCATAAATACCAGTCTGGCCTCAAACTTTTAATATAGCTGAGGCTGACCTTGAACTTCTGTTCTTCCATCTATCTCCTGAGCATGCTGATAGTATAGACATGTGCTAGCATGTCTGGTTTATGAAGTGCTGGGAGTCCCACCTAGGGACCAACTAAACTATACCTCCCCCCTTTTTTTTGGAGTGACAAATTAACGGATAGTTTCTGGAATTTTAAAATAAAAATCATAATGTACAGTGACAGCTAGTAGTTATGCTAATGCAATGTGCTATGCTAAGCGCCCTGAATGTATGATTTCCTTTTATCCTTCCAGCCATGGACAGTCAGGGCTGCACAGAGAAACCCTGTCTCGAATAACAAAAACAAAACAAAACAAAATTCAAAAGAATAGTGCCTTAGTTATCACTATAACTGCTTAGACATGTCTTCAGTGTCCTAGACCGTTTCTGTGGTTTTACCTGACATACATGAGACGGGCTCACACTCTAATCCTAGAACCTAGGCCTCTACTGAGCTACACCTTGGCCTTTTCTTACTTAATTTTAGTCGCTCAGGCTGGCCTCAAACTTGATATTTTCCTGGTTCGGTCTTCCATGTGTCTGAGATGATGTGTACACAAGCACCGGTTGCTGTTTTGGTTTACTCAGTTAACAGGCATATGGACCTACAACTTTGTTTGAGAGTCCAAGTAGTGATCCATTATTTGGAATACTACCACTTAGGCTAATGTGTTTGTTTGATTGGTTGGGTTTGGAGACAGAGTCTATTATGTAGTTCTGGGTGGCCTGGAACTCCCTATGTAGGCCAGACTGGCCTCGAATGCACAGCCACTCACCTGCCTCTTCCTCCTGAGTGCTGGGGTTAAAGGCATTCAGCATCAGGTCCTGGTCCAGCTAAATTAATCCCCCCCTTTTTGCATTATAAGAATATAATTGCTTCATAACAGTCTGTGTGAATGGAAGATAAATGCTCTAGCCTACGTTATTTTACAGGAGAAAAAACTGAGGCCTATAGAAGTTAAGGCCAAGGCTTTGGTGACAAACCGGTGACTTGGAACTCAAGACCACATTACTTCACTTCCTTACTAAGGAAGTATTTGACTGTTCTTTAAAGCTCAAGGTGAGAGGGAATGTGCTGAGGTCAGACAGCAGTTAGTGTAATGAATTCCAGGGACTTGCAGTGAGGCAAGGGGTCATGCTTATGCTTTTTTCATACTTTGGCAAGTAGCAGACGAATAAAATGTTTTTATGTGTAAAAAATTATATCCAGGCTATCTTGAAGTTTGTGCTTTGTGTAATCAAATAGGTTTTGACAGAATTTTCTCTCTTGTAATAACATTGTCAATGAAATAGCTAGCAATGAGGGCAAAAAACATAAGTTTAGTCCTGGTCCTAAGTAAAATTGGGACACTGGTCATATTTTTTCTTCCTTCCTTCTTCCCCCCCCCCTCCTCCCTCCCTCCCTCCTTTCTTTTCTTCCTAATGAGCTGAAAATACTCAATTAAAAAACAGTTTTGAAAACATCGCAGGCTGGTCATGGTGGCCCATGCTTTTAATCCCAGTGCTCAGGAGGCAGAGGTGGCTGGATCTGTGAGTTCAAGACTAGCCTGGTCTTCATAGTGAGTTCCAGGATAGCTAGGGCTAAATAGTGAGAGCCTGCCTCAATAAAATACACACACACATACATACATACATATATACATATATACACATATTCATACATTCATCTCAGGAGATACTGGTTTTCTTTTTTTAATTTGTTTTCTATTGAAAAAGTAGGTGACCGTGAATTGATATTAATGAACTCCCTTGAACTCACTGTGTAGCCTAACTCATGCCTTTTTCTACCTTGGCCTCTCAACTGCTAGAATTAATTACAGCCCAACTTACTAAGTCTCTTAAAAGAGTCTTACCTGTTGTAGATACTAAAATGAAAATTATTATTTTTAAAGGGTTTCTTGAGAGTTTTGTTTTATGTGTATGAATATTTGCTTGAGTCTGCGCACTGTGTGTGCAGTACCCCTGGAGGCTAGAAGGTGTTGGATGTCTTGGGAGTGGAGTTTCAGACACTTGTTAGTTCTCATGGGTGCTGGGAACTGAACCAGTCCTCTGGATCAGCAGCTAGTGCTCTTAACTGCTGAGCCATCTCTTCCGCCTGGACTTATGCTACTGTTTCTTTTCTTTTTTAAAAGATTTATTTATTATTTATACAACATCCTGCCTGCACACCAGATCTTACTATAGCTGGTTATGAGCCACCATGTGGTTGCTGGGAATTGAACTCAGGACCCTTGAAAGAACAGCAAGTG